CACACACACACACACACACACACACACACACACACACACACACACACCTCAATCCTCTCCTCCAATTTCCCTGGTAGTGACGGGGACCAGTGGTCCGCCGGATGAGGGAAAGGAAGGTGACTATTTGGCAGGAAGATGGACCAGATTTAGATTTTATGAAAAAGAATCTGGCAAACTGCAACACGGATGTCTGAGCAGCTGCTGTGTGTGCGTTTAAGAAAAAGAAAGCTGCTGCATCCATACTTAAAAATTGTTGGAACTGAGGCATAGAATATTTAGATTTGAGTTTCTGGAAAGGGCTGAATTGCAAATTGTGTCCTTGTACATGTTTGAGCCGGGAAGTTTGCGAACAGATGGTGGATAATTAAAAGGAAAAACCTCAGCACTTGACCCCGACAGTGAGGGGATCCGGTGGCAGTGCTGTGGGAGATATTTCCAGTTATAAGAGTGGATTTGATGCATCCCATTTGTGTATTTTTGCATGTAAACATCACAGCACATAGGAAAAATACCTGGGCCAACCCTTATACCACAGAATCATCACGACTGTGGCTACAAATGAAGGGTTTGCACATTTTAACATCATTTCTAAAAATGCTTCCTTAAGGTATTTTGGTTAAGCTACCTATAATTCAAATAGCTAAGACTGTTTCTGTCTCAGCTGAAAATATCTCAAAATATTCATACAACGTTCACTTAACGTTTCTTTAAAAACCGTCTCTGCATTTTGTTCTATATTAGAGTATGCGTGGGTTCTTCCTGAGACAAGCAACACATATAGAGACGGTTATACCTATGTTTTTACACTGTTTGTATTATGAGTGTAGAACTGGGACACTCAAATACTTACGGTAATTTTCTATCTGAAATTTTAACAAATGATCTTTATTTTCATAAGCCTGCATTAGGTTTACAAATCAAATTAGGGCTCACCTCCAAAAGGTTTCTTGGTTTTGCAGAGATGACTGTGGCTTATGAGGGAAACATCACAGAAGCTTAAAGCACCTTCACGTTATCAGTTTGTGGCAAGAAAAGCACATGCGTGAATTTTGAGCCACTGGAGGCGTTTTCAGTCAAACAATATGGGTTAACATTTATGCTTGGCTTATTTGGGCCCATAGAGTAACTGGGCCTGGAGGGTGGGAGATAATTTTAGCATGTTAGCAGCAAAATAGGTTACAACCTTCAGTGGCTCCGCTGCTGTTTGGGACAAAGTAGGACACAAGCATGGCAACAAGTACACTGTTTTTGAGACCACAGGAGCGATTACTGTAAACTAAACCGGACATGTACGCACTTAATAAAACTTACAATACCAACCTGGCCTGCTACCTGCACTTTCATTGGAACCTCCAGGACTCCTGTATCACTGTCAAAAAACTTCCCAGCATGTTGGGATAGTGAGCGTCTATGAGGGGGCAGAAAGGGAGACACAGTGTAAGAACACAGAGCCCAGTTGAGTAAAAACAAATTAAAAGAAAAATCTTCATCAACAGACTCAGAAACAGAAGAAAACATAAACAATAAGGGCTGGAATACAACACACAATATCAACAAGTGTTTCAAGAGTTTTCCTTTTGAATTGTTGGACTAAAGACATCGACAGTCAAAAGCTACGAGTTGCTTCTGAGATTTTTAATGAAAGAAAATTCAGACCCTGAAGACCTATTACTTTACTTTAACCCACGACTGCAGGATTGGCTCACCAGAGAAAGCAGAGGAGAGATAAAGAGTACGCCTCCACACTACTGTAGGTTGTAGCCATGGTGATGAGAGACATAAGTATGATTCAAAGAGGGCCAGTAGTCATACACAGGCTTATGTAAACCTCCAGCCCCTCAATATCACAGTGGAGAGCTGCTCTCATGATTGCATGTTCACTGGATGTATATGACTGATTAGCGTGCAAGCAGTGATCATTTGAAAGTTTGCGCCTCAAATCCAGGGATTTCTCTCACATTCTCTGCCCGTATCCCAACATCCTTCTCTCCTCCTCCCTACTAGTTCCTTCCTTTTCTTTCTCACCCGTCAGCTGTCTGCTCTGTTTTTCCCTTGTTACGCTCTTAATGCTTGTTGAAGGTTTGAGAGCTAATGCTGTAAATGTCAGTGGTTTAGAGGCTGTCCTTATGCAGCGCGCGTACGCCTGTGTTTGTGTGCCTGTATTTGTGTGCCTGTATTTGTGTGCCTGTATTTGTGTGTTTTTTTAAGGCACAACCAAGTCTTGCCTTCTCAGAGATCTGTCAGTTGGACAAGTTTGTGCCTCGCGTTCCACAGAGCTCATGGCTGCTGCTAACAAGCTGGTGTACAACAACAACCCAATTGACTCAAAGCAAAAAAAAGCTCTCTTTTTCCCACCAGTCAAAATTAAATCCCTGCAATTACAAGGTAGTTTTATTCTCCCTCTGTGGCCTGACCAATGAGTGCAGAGGGTGTATTTAAGGAAGCACTCTTGTTCTGCCTTCAAATAGAATCGCTGCTGGAGCATCACTTTTGAATTAGCTTGGCAAGGCAGAGTGGAAAAGCCTGGTGGGGCGTCACCAGGCCCATATGTTCAGGAGAATATGTGGAGGGATGATGCTTCAGATCAGTCAGTGTCCTGCACAGATTTACTGGCGCACTTTCCTTCTTTAGGGCAGATTATCCACATTAATTCTCCTGATTAGTTTTAAATGTTTCTTCTAAGATTAGTGGAGGACGCATGGAAACAGAAATTGTTTTGGAGTCTTATCTTAGGGGTATTTCACCTAAAATCTCTGAACTATAGTGGAAGAACCCAACCTGTTAAAGCTTCTTCATGCATCTCCATTAAAGTCAACCTGGAACATATAAAAGGTGGGGAAAAAGACAAACCACTTGAGATAGTTGAAAAAAGGTTAAACTTTTTTAAAAACTATCTAGATAGAAATGTATAACTATGTTGTTTCTTTTTATTTATTTATATTTTTAGAAAAGAGCCTCTTTTTTAACTGAACAGGAGAAAAATGTAAAATGTGGTCTTAAATGTGGTCTTGTTTGGTTTTTACTTATCACCATTAAAAAAGTGATTATGAACAGGATTAAAAAAGCGGATTAGGAGACTTTAGGATTTTTCAAATCAGAATGATGGTTGGGTAAAAATAACAAAAAAGACCAACATTAAAGTAATAAAATGGACTTAAATATTGATCATTTAAGTTTTTTACATGTCTCACTGCGCCATCAGTGTCTGGAACTGACGTGAGCAATGGGCCAGCAGTAAAAAGCGCTGGCAGTTCAGTGTAATCTGTAGTAAATCATCCTTGTAATCTCCTTTTTATCAACTGGAACTGCTGGGGCTGGACCCAGCGCATGCTCTCCAGAGATTACGCCTAAAACCACTCAGCCAATCCTATTCATGTGTTCCTGTCATCAGGTTAAAGCAGAATAAAAAATAAACCAAGGAAATGGCAGGATCAAGTAATCTGGATCACATGCCCTAAAAAAATGCTGCACATGTGCTAATCGACATAATCTGTCTTTAATCTTTCTCCATTTTGTCCAAGGTGTCCGGTTTGGAGAAACTAACTGTGGAAAAGAGAACTGAGAGTAATGAACTAACATGGAAAATAAAAAATGAAAATGCTGTGGCTGATTAAGAAGAGGAGGTGTGACAGTGGAGCTGAGGACCAATTCAGAGAACTATGAAACCAAAGGAAAGACCAAAAAGGAGGGAAAAAACACAAAACCCTGGGATGATGCCACCATTTGGAAAATGACAAAATGTTGACAAATTCAGATTGTGTGCTTCCTTAAAATAAACTGAGCGGGATTACGAATCCCGGGCCATTACTCCCCATGCTGTGGAGACCGAATTATGGAGCGGTGCAGAACAATGCCGTGGTTATGTGAGGGAGAAGTGTGGGTTGGATGGTGACAAATAAAAGTGGAGGAAGACAGCCAGAGAGAAGAGGGATGAAGCAAGAGAAAGCTGCCGCGGCGATGTGGGCAGGTTGAGCGCCATCCTTCAGAGCAGGAAGCAAGGATGTGCTCACCCTCTCCCGAAAGCCCGAGGAGGGAAAGCAGAACGCAAACACCTGTGTAAAGAATGAAAGCTATGAGTCATTTTAGAATCCAGATTTAACAGCGCAGTGTGTGCGTGGATGTGACAGTGAGTGAAAGCAGTGCAGATAATGAGGATTTGAAAATCCAATCATGGGCTCCGGCTGGGAGAATTGGCAGTGCCATTTTAAATGACACACCACCACTGAATAAAACAAAAACAAACCTAGAAGATATCAACAGATTGGAAGGGCTGATCCAACCATGACAGAGATGACACATACAGGGACACGGCTAGCTGTGCTGCTGGAAACATGCATATTTTCCATTCCAGGTCGGAACTAGGGCCATGCTCTTCTTTGCTTTTTGAGGCTTTAATCTTTGATTTACTTGTTTGCGAAGACTGATTTCTTTGATCCTTCCAAAAAGTATCTAAGTATATTCGTAGCCGAGCCAAATTTTGATTTATAGTGTTTTTTTTTAAACTGATGAAAGGAAAGAGAAATGTTTAATGACAGGGACACCACTGCTATGGTAAAGCATGGTGATGGGATTTGACCCTTTGCTGTAGTTTTTTTTCCCAGGTGCTGACCAGACTATGTGAAGAAAGTCAACACTGAATTAGAAAAACTGTATCTGATATGATTTTAACCCAATCAGATCAATGTTTGAAGACTGAAATATATGTATACAAGTTGTAAAGCTTGTACATTGGCTTCTGGTGCTTTTGTGAAACTGTGCATCCTCACAAAACAAAAATAAAACCATCTTATCATAACTTCTAACAACTCGGGTTTTCCAGTTATTAATAAGGTAGTTTGTTCTGCTCAAATAAGACCATAATCTAAGTCACACAAGCAGATATCAATTTAAAAATTAAGTTAATTTGTGACTCCAAATTTACCCGAGGAATATGTATGCCTACCTCTCTTCCCATGACAGCCAAAATAAGCTCCAACCCTGAATTGGATCATCATGAAACATATAAGAAAACTTTTTCCCATGGATTAGTTTGGATAAGGAACGTAATTTATTTAATGATGTTTGGTACTACTCATGACCCGATTGACAAGATCGTACACGAGTTGCAATGAACTGGAATTTCCATCAACGGACAACAATGTGACAGAGCAGGAAACTAGGTCTGGTGTTAGTTATGTAAGCAATATAAGGGCCAGCACAATAACAGTGGTGGAAGGCGGATGCAGAGAGGGAGACGGGGAGCGTGATAACACTCAGAATGACAAAGAGAGGCAGAATGAATGCAGCATGGGAGGAGAAATGAAGAAGCAAAGATGGGCAAACCCAAAGTGGAAAAAGTATAGTGAAGCTCGGAGGTGAGAAGCCAAGAAAAAGAGAAGTATGTGAGAGGGAGTGGGAGAGGACAGCAGAGAAGTGAAAGAGACCCAGGGAGGAAACGTGTGATAGAGATGGAGAAGGGAGGGGGTGGAAGCTGTAGCGTTGGTGCCTGTGAACGATGCACCATCTACACAGCAGCACGAGTAAAGCTGCACTCTAATCCTCGCATTAAAACCTCTGCTGATTCAGTACGGCAGATTACTGACATTTCTGCACTTTCCTCTAATGTCTCCCTGCTGTCCAATGACCACTGCACGGCCCGGACATCATTCTAACGAGTGAAGAAAACGCACTGCTCCTTCTCACACACACATCCGCCCATCTATCAATGCACAAAGCTGTTGTGCTGGCAGGAGAATACCAGTGCCCACGCAGAGGTTTTACATACTGCACGCCTCTCATATTTGCCCCGGGGGGTCCCCTTTCCCATCTCACGGCATTCAATCTGCAGTCCTACTCCTGCCTCTTGGTCTAAATATAGATCCTGGAGAGTTGTTGAAACAATTACCAAGTCCTTGAAAGTCATTAGACACTATTGGCGGAAGCCTTCATGTCCGTGTGCCCCGAGTGCAGGTGTGTTGAAGCAACTCTTTTTAGCCACTGGCTGCTGACTGGATACTTTAATTCTCTCATGCTGCGCAGCTTCCTCCCATTAAAAAGAAAGCTCTTACACAACCACTGTTGTACGCGAGAAACCTGTCACAGCTAGTATTACAAATCTAGATTGATAGATATGCATATGGGCACACTTAGGTATCTATGGCTACTATTTCATTGGTCATAGAGGAGACGAGAGAACGCCAACATCTGAAAGAAATGGGAAAAAATCTGCTTAGTGAAAAACTCTATGGTTGTATTGTTATTATTTCCCTTTCTGCATCACATGAAGTACTGGTGCATTTATCTGTTACTTAAAGATTGGAAAAGTATAATTCTTTGCTTTTACAGTGGTATGACTGCTGTACCAAAAATTCCCTGAAGAGCCTCCAGATGATCCAAAATTCTCCAGCTAGACTTCTGATGAGAACTAGCTGTGGGGATTGTGTTTCTCTAGTTTTAGCTTCTTCATTTAGCCCCGGTAAATTCTGAATAGAATAATATTCTCCTCACCCAGATAGAGCTCAAAACTACCATCTCCATCATAGTCATGTTGGCCTGGACCTAGATTGGTTATTACAACACACGAAGAACCTCTCCTGACTCTCCTCATTTTTGTCTTCTTTAACTTGCGCTTATTTTTCCCTCAATCCACAGTGAGTTGAGATGTACAGCTGGTCTTTTTCAGTTTCATTCTGCCAGAGTTTTTTCTATAGGCAGACGATTTTATTTTCAATCAGCTCCAAATGAATTGGACTAATTCCAGGAATTTGATCTGTTTAGACAGTATTTGAAATATAATGAATTACATTACTGGTTTAAGTAGATTTCTGAAGTGCCTTAAGATGACCTTTGTGTGATTTAGCATTTTATAAATAAATCTGAAGTGAAGTGAACAAAATCTATAATAAAGCTCACCTCGAATAAAATGTCAATTGACAGTTCATAGCTGTGGTTTCAAACTTTCCTGATAGTTACATTTTTTAGATTCAGTGTGGCCTTTTCCTCATCCCTCCTACTTCATCTGACTGACTTATTGAGTGCGAGCTGCTCACAGACAGCATCATATATAATTAACTTAAACAAGGTGGTTTGGGAGATAGATGTATTTATTTCAACAAGTTAACCCCCCCCAAATTGTGTATGTGTTTGCATCTCCCGAGTTTTTTAGGTGGTGCCTGTTCTCGCTGAAGAAGCAGAGCTGGAAGGTGCACAGTCTCTTTTGGAGTGAAAGGATATGCAAGGTCAAAGGGAATCTCAACAAGCTCTGTTTACAATAAGATTATCAATGCTCCAGTGATTCCATTATCATTGCATCCTCAGGGTGTGTCCGTCCTTACCTTGGCATGAACTTCAGTTGGGCATTAAAGCTTGATTGAGCCTGGATGAAGCCCATCTTTGGAAGAATCTCCATGTGTTTCTTCATCTCTGGGCACACCTCGAAGGTCAGTTTCAAAGCAGTGTTGGCTCTGTCATGCAAGAGGTGAAATGTAATGTGCAAATTACAGACAGAGACAGGGTAGTAATGACATAAAGAGTTAAACACTCAATATTAACTTATTCAATGCAGTTTCCATTAACTAGCAAAATATTAAGGGACCATAGATTTAAAAAAAAAAGAAAAGTTATCCAAGAATTTCAATGATAGTGCATCAAAAGAATAAAAGTACAACTGCCACAGGATTTAGAATACAGCCCCACCTACAGAGTATATATAAATATATATACATATATACACACACACAGTATAGAGTCCATCTAATTCTAAGCGGCCTCATTTCGAGCAGCTCAAACAGACGGTTAACCTTGTACCTACAAGCCTCAGTTAAAACTGAAGCTTGGGATATAAATGGCTCTTCACTTTGGGAATTCTGCGATGCATCCAACCACAGCACACACCTTTAAAAAGCTGGGAGATGAGCTGAGAATTGTTTACTGAAGGTGAGATGTGTTTTAGCGTTTCATTTAGCTAATTTCCATTCTAAAAGACACGGAGGTCAGCCATGAGAGAGACGGCCACACAGACCGAGGATCCCTTGTTGCCTTTTTTTCTGTCTTTCTCCACATTGAAATGTCCCATTTTAAAAAGAGAGGTCAGCCAGATGGTTGCTGCCCTGAGGCTGGGACTCACAGAGCCACTTGGGGGATGAATGATAACATTCAAATCACCCTTGAAGAATATTCTTGGAGACATAAACATTTTTGGCAATTTAGCATTTTATTTGTCAAAATAAGTTCTTCTACGATTATTTTGTTATACCAATGTTGCATCACAACGTTGGACTAAACATTGGTAGAAATACATCAGAAAATAAAGCCCTGATTTTTTGGGGCTAAAGATAAAATGTTGAGATGATGTTTGGAGTTATAGCATTATAAGGCAATCAAATCTCATTCGGGGACGTGGGCATGGCGGCAGTATCCCGCATATGCACATGTGAAACATTTGTTTTAGCTGTTGTTCTTTTGTGTGAACAGGCAGTTTACACCATGAACAACGGCTAAAACAAATGTCTACCTTTTGTTTTCTTTTTCATGGATTATTCTATTTCTTTACTCCTTTGACAGCTAAAGTCAAGGCAAAATCCTAAGAAAATTTTAATCTGGTTATTATTTGAACTTTGGAAGAACAACTGCCACAAATCGCTTCTGCTGGTTTTAGAGCAATGACACAAATAAAAAAAATGTTCTTCCTGAAAGGAAAAAAAATATTTTCTAAAGTAACGACAGGAAGTCACAAAAATTGGATATGAAAAAAACAAACAAATCCCATTGACAGCCATTGGAGTTATCAGCTGTCTTAAAAAACAACCCTTTATGAGCAACAATAAAAAAACCCAAAATGGACGAGCCTTGTGTGATATTTTCTTGAAACTAATCATGGAGAAGCTGCTCATGCAGAGTGCAGACACAGATCAGAGTTACAGAGGGCCCCACTCTGTTCCTTCTGCCATTATAAAAGAAGCACAGGTGCCTGCGGTTAGGTTCACCAGAGGAGACGGGAAAACACAAACAGCACGTTTGTGAGGGAACTATGAGCTCAAACAACAGATTATCAATTACTATTTGTGTAAATTTTTTACTTAAATAATTCAAGATCTAAATGAACAACACACTCATTGTGTTTCTCTGTGCAAACACAAAAAGGATCAGGCTGCATTAGGATGAGTTATGAGGGATATTATAAATGAAGTAAGCAGAGAGGAACCCAAAGACAGAAGGCTTTGTGAAAGAAAAAAGCTGGCTTGTTGTGGCTTTGAGATTGGGCAGGAATCCTCAACGCCCCAGCAGGTGCCCATGAAGTTGGGCTTAAAAGTCCAGGCCGAGTGTTTGAAATATAGAAAGCAGAATCTCTGCCAAGAGTGTTCAAATTATTCCAATGACTGGCTCTCTAGCAGAAAGTCAGAAAAGCTGCATATTTTAAAACCTCTTAAACAGTACCATCGATTAGCAAGAATGATGATCAAATCACTGGCACGAAGGCAATATAGACACACTCTCGTGCTTTTGTGTTGTTCTCTTGAAACGTCTGTCACACACTGAAGAGGACTTGTGGGATATCTATCTATTCGAAGAAAAAGGTGACAAATTGTGTGACGAAAGAAGCGGCTCTCTTATTGTTTTCCCCAAAGCCTGCCAAGATATTTTGTGCTCACATTATTGTCTTGCAAGCGGGGTGACATATTGCGTGCTTTGGTGGCCCAAGCATTATCACTTGTTTCCTGGAAAAGCTGCAGTTCACACTGACACTGTCATCGTCATGTTGTCACATGTGCTGGTGTGCCAGCGCACCAGATGGCAGTTGTCACAAATCCCCCCCTCCCCATCCATACACTCCCTTCCCAATATGATACGACACAATGACAGTCTAGGTGACGACCACACTTCTGCAAATGCCATTGCCGCTGGTGGATTCTTAACCTTTGGTATGCATAATGTATCACATCAATGATAAAAAATTATTTGCTTTTGTTCAGTGCGGCGGTACATTATGGATCACAGAGGGCCGCAGGGATGGGAGATTAATGTCTCTTACATCATCCCCTGTTTATAAATACCCACCAGCTGCATCTCTATTATAGTTATAATTTTTACTATTATATTTAAACATTTGCTGAATATATCTAAATGCGCTCCTTGGCTGTAAGAATAGTTTGAGACTTTAATGTTGGGCTGCAAATCGGTGCCTGTCAGTTTTAAGGGATTTCGGTGAGCTGATATTCTGTGGAATTGCCTGTTTTGGCAGTGGCTGACTCCATAAAGGAGTTTAAGCATTGTTCTCAGCAGATGAACCAGCATGCTACATCAGCAGTCCATGACACTTTCCATACTGTAATGGACGGATCCTTCCAAGACAACAAATGAAACTGAAACATGAGCTGTGGCATTCACACGAGTTGTCACGTCACTGCTTATGGGTCTCTTGAGTAATACAGCTCTAAGACATAATTAATTTCTTTTAGCCTGAAAGTGTAAAAGCTTGGAGCTTTTTGGGGGATTTTTTTGTTGTTGAAAACTTCTGGAAAGTGCTGACACTGGGTGGGGGTAATCACTATATCTTCCTGAAAGACTCTTCTGCACACTTTTCAGCCAGCTGTATATTGGACAGATTGTACAAAGACATCTTAGTTAGTAGATCTATGGTTATTTTTTATGCATACTGTTTAATGAATATTATATTTCTTACTAAGCCACTTTTTGTGTTATTCACTATATGCTGTACAGGCTCTTCATGTAGTTTTCTGCCATTTGTCAAACTTCCTTTGCTCATATAGTTTTGGCCTTCCATGTCGTTAACTTAGTCTCAAGTGAGGTTGGATTTATTTTTAATTCCTAAGGTACTTCAGCATTTGAAGAGCCTCTTTTGAATGTTAACCTGTGTGCTGTGCACAGCGTACTGCGGTCTGGGTGTCGGTTTAGAAGATTTTGGGACCCACCTGCTTTGGACCACAATGCTGTCTTGATAAAGGCGGTCAAACATGCATATCTTTAGGTTGATGTTGGGATGAACTACCCATACTGGGACGCTGACTGCCACACCCCTCACCTGGATGGGTATCTGTTCAAATCAGTTTACAGTCAAGGAGAGTTAACATATTATTAATGAAGACTTAAATCGAAGCAAGTAGCTTTGACTTTCTGACCTTTCAAAAAATTACAACCCCAATCTTGACATTTACCTATGGCATGAACAGATTCACCAACATTTCTTACCGGCTTGGTGTTAGTATCAGAGAATCTAATGTAGAAATCCAGTGTGGTTTCTCCTGGAATGGTTGGATTGAATATTACCTCTAGCTTGATGCTCTCAAAGGGTCCAATCTCTCCCTCTCTCACCTAAACAAAATCACATCAAAGACAAAACCTTTTACTCCTTAAGACCTTGATACCTCTTAGAGACATATCTGACAATGTCATCAGCTGTGCAGTCTAAGTCGATGACACAAAAAAGGAAGCTGAATTCACTGAGGTGCAGATGTACTAAGTCACAATGGAATCCATTGAACGGCAGCAAAAGGCTGCATGAGCATCAGTGTGCTGAGAGAAATAACAAAAACGGAAGAGGAGCCCAAACCACCCATGCAGCAAGTCACTCAATATTGTGGGAGCATTTTTGTTTGATGGATAATCTACCATTTAAGACACCAGCCTTCAACCTCTCAGTGTGCACGTATCAGTCAAAGTGGCAACATTCAAGCCAAAGGCGTACAGAACACAACACACACAGCCCCGACAAGCGCAGAGGGAAAGGTGATGCACCATTAGTCCCCCACCAGAGAGATGTAATGAACCCTGAACAACTCCCGAGCTTCACACAGGCCACAGGCACAAACAGCATCATTAGAAAAAACAAGCGGCAGACAGAAGTCATGGATCACCATCTTTGTACCCGGAATTTGTTGTAGTCTATTGGAAAGACCAGTCGATGCAACTAAGAAAAAAAGAACTATTAGAGTGAATTATTACATTTTAAAACTTTTGTCAAAAGAAGGGCAAATCCTTCTATTTGTTACAAACCCAAAGCATTTCATTGAGGCCCTTCTTTATCATAAAATATCTACAATACCTGTAAGACCACTCATATGACAAACTCGGAAAATGGAAGAATTTTGACATCCAGTTATATGTTTCATGTTATGAGAGCTCAATACAGCCCAAAATATTTGGTTAAAGCTGTGTTTTTCTCCTCCTAATAACACCATGCCAGTTATGCATCTGTGTATGCTTTCACACGTTTAATGTATTATGTGCATTATAACCCTTTTAAGGGCCCTTAAGAGGACAGATACTGTGTCAAATGTGTGACTGGCACCAGAGTATAAAGATTAATCTTTATAGAATGTAGGTCACAATGTGTTAGATTTGCCATTTGACATTATGAAAACTGTTAAGAAGGATCCAATACTTACATGTCCAAGTCTTATGTCATGTATCTCAGAGGGGGTGTGGTCTATCTGAGAGTTTTCATCTGAAGACAAATGAGCTTTGGGATCATCTTCTGGATTTCTCACTGCACAAAACACATGACAGACTCATACATCATAAATCATGGCACCACTGTGGTACTTTAATAACTGCTATAAAGGAGCACCAAGCTTAGCAGAACATAACTTCTGTGCAGCGGGGTGATGAAGCTGTATGAAGCAACCGAAATGGTGGTATGAATGTTAAAATATTAAAAATACAGTTAAATAAGAGTAACGAATGCAAGTTAGACCATTATGCAGTTATGACCTATAAAGCCCCACATCATCCTCTTGGAAAAAAGATCTAGAAGATACAAAATGTGACTTGAAATCTGAAAAAGCAACATCAGCTGCCTGAAAATGCGTTCAATATCTGAGGGTCTTGTCGTACAACGATGAATTAAATGAAGAAAAACAGTGATACAGTCATGAAAAATCTCAAAAGCCAGCAGAGCAGAGGCAAAACACTGAACAGCTTATCAAAGCATCAGTGGTAGGAAGTGCTGAGCACAGTGATGAGGACTTCAGATGTGAGAGAAGGTGAACCCACCACTTTTTCTGTGTGCTCTTTTTTTCTTTTCTTTTTTTTTTTGTTCTTAGACCAAATGTCCTCCCAGGAACAGAAAGATGAAGAGATTTTATCAGTTTTCATTTTCTGTAATACAGAGACTTATTTAAGTAACTGTGTCTTCAAAACTGCATTCAAATACAACTAATTTATAACATGATTGCGGATTTAGTTTCCTATCAAAATATCTCTGGTGTTTAGCAGGTATAATTCTCTAAAGTCTTGTTTAGTGGGTGAGCAAGTAAATGCCCCAAGTTGAGGCTAACTGGTTACTCAGTAGTTGTTTTGGTAAAAAATCCAATAGTAAAACAGTCAAGAGTTGTCCCCACTGACAGCTTTCAGTCAACTAAAGTCTAACATGGTTGTGTTACAAGTAAAAATGGAAATCTGATCTGCAGCATAATGAGGCAGACGCCAGAATTTAGTACCAAGCACAGCCTGTCCACGTCTGTTATCTGCTCTGGGATGAGGGACAGGAGTACTCCTAGAGTTCTGTGTTTTGGCAAAAAATTGTCGTCTAATATGTATTCAATGTACAACAGTTTTACCAGTCTGCTCTTGCTGTGAGGCCTCAGTGGGGTCCTGGCTCTCTTGCTTTGCTTGAACTTCTTCGGCATCCAGAGATGCAGAGCTCCCCTCATTGTGGGATGTTGTGTTTTCACTGCATGTGTCCTGTTAGCCCAAAAATCACATACTCATTAGTTTAATTATATAAATAGTTTAGATCTTTAGATCTATTATAAATGCAACACACAAGACACTTCTTAATTTTCTTATTGTCAGTATTGTCAGTAACTCTACTGTTTATGAAGATTATGCATGACAATCATAGAATATATAATGTAAAACAAAATAATGAATGTTAGCTGTCTATCGAAGTAAGAAACATTTTTATTGCTCTAAACTCCCCAAAAGTGCATTCAAAATTAGATAAACTCTTGATTTTTAGACTGATGTATGATTCTGAGTATGTTGGCAAAGACCTGGGATGGCATCTGGACATGGCTAGTTTCTGGACTGGGACAAGGAGAGGTGTCCAAGCTGAAGAAGCTGGCCAGTGCTCCCTTATTGGTCAAGGTGATAGTCCGTGAAATGGTCTGGCCCACAATGTGCGAACCAAAGTCAATTAACTGGCTGTCGACCTCTGGCTACGGAAAGAAAACATTCACATGCAATAATTAGCAAATACTGAGCATCATTCGGCAATTATATCAACAAAGATGCAGCTCAAGTTTTTCTTTATAATCACTGTGCAGTTTTTTCCAAGAACTAAATAAAATGTACTTAAAATCACAATTAATTAAAAATCCACATTGCCCCAAGTGTAAATCCTTTATTTGTAAAGAAAAGGGCAAAAAGGGAGCCATATGAGAAGAAAGAAATCAGCCAAATTAAACTTGCATTCAAGAGCAATGCCAGCTAGATTTCTGTAGGCTGTATTGCACTCTGCTCACCCTGCATTTCTTTATGGTGCATCTGACAGGCACACAGAAAGGACCCACTACCGAGACAAATTGGATCTCTCCTTCCAAGTCCATGTTGATCTGCATGGATGAGGCAACAGCACAATTTGTTGCCGGGAATCCAAAAAATAGGTCTTACATTGGATCAGACTAAAGAAATGTACAGGAAAAAACAAAACGACACAAAACGAAACGAAACAAAGAGCAGCACATCAAACAAGATAGGCAGGGTTTTTCACTGTCAAACCAAATCCTAGACAAAACATATTCTCGTCAAGGAACATCTCAGCATTTAGAGAAATACACCGACACTCACACATTCTCTCTGGGCAAGAGTAAGCTCGATTTCTTCAAACCTTGTGTTTTGCTGGCAACAGGTTAACTTAGCTTGAGTTTCCTGTTGTGGTAATACTTGGCATTTAAAGCAAACTCAAACAGGGTTCAAACTACACTGAGGCTATTCACAGGGACAATTTTTGTGGCTGATATCCACAAAAATAAAAACAATAATAATAAGATTTAAGGCAGAAAGAGAGAAATTGGGTTATTTAAAAGTTAAAGGTTTTCTTGCAGTTATTTCAAGTAGAGCAGTCAGACTTTTGTTGACGATACTCTCAGTGCAATTTGGAGCTCGTAAAGCACAAAACAGCAGAGCAAATTTCTCAATAGATGCAGAAAAAGAGGGGTGAGAGTACTAACCATAGGCTGGAAAATAGCCTGCATGTCACAGGACATCCCTGTAGATAACGAGCCAGGAGGTTCAAAGCTGAAACAGAAGTTACAGTAAAACGTGAGACAGTAGGTGATTTCAAAATACTGGAAATTAACCGAATTAACTTCATATGGAGTTCTAGCTTCTAGCCACACACTGTTTGACAGTAATAACATAATACGATAGATAAGGAAAGTCTTGAAACATTTTCGTTGTCAAAGCAACTGTAGCATACATTTCTCCCAAGAAAAGATCAGCAACTTCAGACAAAATATTGAGGAAAGAAGACAGAGCTCAGGTTAAACATTAACCCGATGCTCAGTTAAATGCTACAGGTGACAAAGCAAAGATGATATGGAACAGGTCAGGATTTTTTTTCACCCTTTCCAGTGAATGATAATATGACCTTATGCAGAAGCAAATGTTTAAAAATGTGTTCAAGAAGAGGAGCAAATTAGCATGAAGGCTTCGAGCTACTAAAGGGAAACATGTATAACTCCGAGTATGTTTATTCAAAGATGATGTTGCCTCAAGGAACTTGAGAACTCACCATTCTTTCAGGGATACAGGAGGACCGATCTATATAGATCTACCAGGCATGCAGAGAGGATTTTCAAAATTTCACAAACAAACAAAAGTTAGAGATGCAACTATGTCCATTATTAAAGAGTCCGAAAAAGCAGAGGATGTCTACTACTTTGCTGTTAGTATTGGTACCAAGTGGTCAGAATGTGAGCCTAGGACCAACCCTGCAGCTACTCACTGTATACGGATTAGATGTGCAAAATTCACAGACTAAATCTGAGGAACAAAATGTTAAAAGGACTTTAGTAGTTTTCCATGTTCGGTAATCAAACTTTCTGACATGTGAAAATTAGTATCATAGCCTTAACCCAGTTGGCTGCAATGCAAAATGTGAATGAGAGACAGCTTAAATCATGGATGGATCGAAGAAATTATTATAGAACACCAAGCTCCAAAAGTGCTTAGATTTGAAAAGTGTTTTCATAAAGATTCAAATCCAAAGATAAACATCCCACTGAGCATATTTCCATTAGCACAGCGAGGAGATGGTCTGCTACGGTGGCTCTGGTTTCAGCCTGTGATGTGAAGATGAGTTTGGTCGGGCCGCCTGAAGCTCAACAGTTTGACCTGGAAACCTATGAAAGAACTCCACCTTTCCAGATAAATGTAGTAATTTGGAAACTCACACTGCCATATCATCAGAATTTTTCATTCTCTTTTTTTTACCATCAAATTCATTTTCAGCACCACTTCTCTTTCCTAACATCAAGACAGGTGACATAAAAGGAGGAAATTAGAGCAGTTCACTTGGGATTGAATGCTGAGCGAGGCAGAGTTTGAAAAAGCCTGCCACAGCTCTATATAAACTGCTGCAAACGAGGCCATACTCTACAGAGCGTCCGCTGCAGAGGACTGAAATGATCCTGGTTAAAGTAACACTGACTACACTGTGTGCTAAATAAAACATCACAAATGCTCCCCATTGGCTTCTCCTACAGTAAATCAATAAGCAGCCTGTGTTCATAAATCAGTTCATAGCTCACATACCCTCACACTTGTAATCTTACCACTGCATTCCATATTTCAAATGAAATAGTCTTTCTTTGCACTTTTGAATCTACCACAAAAATATTTCAGTAGTGCACTTAAACTGTGAATGTAGCTTTAACTCTGGGTTAATTTAGTTAAATTATAAAAAGAACAAGGAGCAAAAAGCTGCAATCTAAGTTGCCCAATATATATTTACTTCCAGGATGCTTCACTATGCAGTGACATCCATATGATGATCTAATTTCATATCAAAGCTGTAAACCATATACTGATATGCACTTACTGTATGACAAATTATGAAATCAAAGGCGCAACAGGACAGTCACGTCTTCACTGAACTAGTTGGTGCCTTCAAAATAAGAAAGACATTCGATAGCATACGCATCTTTTCTTATACTTTTAATATTAAGCACTCACTGACAGAAAATAGAATACTATGTTCATCAGTGTATCAGTTACATAACATTTACCAGCATTAATAGAAATGACCACTATTAGCACTATAAACCCAACAAGCTGTCACTATGGTTACCTATTGGAAATGTAAAAACAAATTTAAGAGTAAAAACATGATTTGCTCGAGTTCAAAGCTGCTCATCAACCTGTGCTGACAGAGGGACTGATAAATCAAGCAGCCAAACGGTCTCAGAGAAGATGCATCCTTAGCGATCGTGTATGGAGCCTGAGGCTTCAGTCCAGCTGTTATTGAGTGTCAGTTACTAAACTATGATGGTTAAATACATCTGAGTCTGTACTGAAGAATTTCTTCAACTGAATCTGCTCAAACTCTCTAGCTGATGTCAGGACTAAATGTCACCCTGATTCATTCTGATGTCAGTCAAATGTTGGGTTTGATTAGCTGCTGCTGCATCTGGATGACCACCAGATCCCAACAAATAGTCTGGGCAAGTGACGGACTGGACAAATGACAAATACTGCTCCTAATTAGTTCATTAGCAGCGCATTATTTTAATTATGGGTTTTTTTGGGAACCCAAAAGTTTCCACCTTTGGAGACGTCGGTGAGTTAATGATCGAGGACTTATGTGGTATTATAAAACGTTTTGCTTTTTTTTGGACAAATTTCTAAACACTGAACTTGAATAGAGGTCAGGAACATGCATGTCACTCTGCCTCTCGTTACAAAATATGCCATGAAGTGCAACTAAACATCTAAAAAACTGATTTTCATCAGGGCTGGTGAACCCAGGCTGTTGTTGCTTTTGTTTCAGTAGTGAAATATTACGGCAGAGCCTACTCTGGCACCAATGCACCTACACTGGGCAGGGGGAAGCCATTTTTAGAAATGATGGGGGCGTGGAGGGAACCGTGGGCTGGTGTGAAAAAGCCCAGTGTGTTCCTGGTTCATGTGTCTCTCCCTCTCTCCTGCTGTGCTAATGTTTTTCTGCTGGGTGAGCCGTGAAGAGTTAGCAGTTGTCACGACTGATCTAAATGTTGAGGGTCTGAATGTGTCACTAAACAGTGCTTCACACACAAGAGACGGTGAATTGCCCGACGTGGGTGTGCAGCAGGTGAATTAGTTTGTCAGCATGTATTACAAACAATTGAATTCCGACACTTGTAAAAGGTCCTGATTCAGCTTGTGGCTGCTACAGCAAACAAAATGCTCAGTTTAATGTGAAGAAGCAAAGAATTCAGTATCTGGTGATGTGGAAAGGGAACTGGTTCTTCTAATATCAAAAGAGAGAGCTTTTATTCCTACAAAAGGGAGTGGAGTACAGTACACGATTAATGTCTAATCCTCAAATGAATTATGACTAAATGTATAGAAATGGGTGAATAACTAATAAAAATGTGACAAACAGGTGCCGGGGAGACCACAGAATTCATTCATTAGGTCAAACCTGCATGCAGCTGGCGCTGATCTGAATCTTATGTTCTCATAATAAATGCTTTTAAACAGAAGGGTGTTTATTCACAAAACACCAATCTAAAGATATGAACAGTAATGAGGTACTATTGACTGTATATTGTTCACAAAAAAATGGTTTATGAAGGAGTTACAGGGTATAGAGTGCAGAGCACAGTATGTGTGTACTCCCCCATTTGGTATGGAAGTGCATGTTTGATCCAGGCGAGTTAGGAACGGAGGACTGGAAGGAAATACGTTCAGACAAGTGGTCCCGCATCAAGGCTCAAGAACACCATCAGTAGTTTCCAGCTGACCCTGCTGCAGCCTGCGAGACTCTTCACTCAGTCAGGCAGAAAGAGGAGAGAGGAGAGGAAACCACATCAAGTCATAGGAGAGCTGATGGGAAAGTGATACGCAGTGAGTGACCTGGAGAACAATGCATCTCTGCTCGGCCTGTGGGCTGCTGGCAGGCACAGGGAGAGAGAGAGAGAGAGGAGAAAGAGGAGACATGGACTGACTCATTGAGCTGAGACTCATAAGAGGAGCTGTGCGCGTGGGGATCCAAGCTGGCATCCATATGTGGGAGGACAGGCTTTGCTTTCATGCACACGCCGTCATCTATTAAAATGACAAACAGGGGTTGTTCCTGACTCTTAAAATATGAGCGGATGTTTCCACATGTGGACTGAAGGAGTGGAACATACAATAGATTATTAGGACCTTTAACATCATTTGCTGATACACTTCTTCTTCTAATGTCACAAAATCAGAATTATTTCTATGAAACCTTATTTCAAAGTGCGGGTTTGGTTTTCACAAGCACCTCCTGACTCTATCTCTTCGGAGAAATCATGCCAAAATGCCACTGAACAACAGAGGTTACTGTTTTTTCATCTGCTCATCTCTTTCAGTGCTCATCAGTTATTTAGGCATCCTATATATATTGTCAAATGTCAATATCAAAGCTGAGGAATGCCACTGAACAACAGTAGTTAATTATATATTTCCAGAGTCTCTTTCATCTTTATAAGATGAATGTCTCGGTGTTTCCTCAGATAGGTTTCAGTGTTGACCCATTCTATGACACCTCTATTCACACAAGACGTGTGTATTGGTGGAGACCTGAGTGAGTGCAGTCCAAATCAGCTAAAGCTGTTTGAATGAAGGATTCTCTCAACACTGTCTTAAAATTTCCTCTCATACTTTCACGATTACTAATTACCTGCACATAGTGCACTAAGGAAACATCTGTGAATTGTGCCTGTGTCTTTGGGGAAAAGCTGCAGCCATCCACACATGTAAAAGGAATGTAAAACAGGGGTAACGGGGGTAATGTATAAACAAGTGGCTAACACAAAAGCAGGTTTCTTTTTGATGTGAAGCAGCTGCCTTGGTTAGCAGACACAGTTAAAAGTTAAAAATGTTCGTTGGCAGCGACACAGAAAACAGGCACAAGGACAACCCTGCATGCATGTTGTTTCATCCCAGTACATCCTCAATGACCTTGTAGTGCTGGTGTAAGAGTCAATGGGTGGTGCAGGGGCTGGTTTTGGAAGGTTTGCTTAGTGCATAACTGGTGAGGATGCAGTGAATTCAACTAACTGTTTTTGCTTGCTTTACTCCAAACTTACTTTTTCATAGTTAACTCAGATGGTCACGTGTTGTTTTTAACAATAACATAATTATGCACTTCACTTTCAAAATATTTTTCTAATCATGTCCTCAATCCTCTTTTTAGCAGCCCTAAGAAAGTTTGTAACAATGCCTGTTGAGTTGTTGGTAGGTTTTTACAGTGTAGTTCTTCTGCACTAAAGATATCCTTTTATTATGATATTTTTTACTTTAATGTAACCAAAAGTTTTGAAATGTATAAGAATTGTACATTACAAAAACAGACCTGAAATGAACAATTTACACTATAAAAAACTTCAATAAATACATATTTGAGATTCTTTTTTTTATATTTGTTGTATATTTTTTAGCTGTGTATGTACATGAGCTCTAGAACCAGTTAAGCTTAATAATTTAACAGTGAAAACTAAAGTTTTCTTTCAGTTGAACAGAAATATAGAATTTCAAGTGCATGTTATTCAGAGATTTGCACACCAATTAGCTTTGTCCCAGTCTGAGTATAATCCTCTGAATGCTGGAAAGAAGTCTAATAAGAGATCTTACTTGATAGTGAGGATGTCCTTCAGCTGAGCAGAAATCCCGAGGAACCTGCAGTGGTTAACAGAGTAGCTGATGTTCGTCAGGACGATTTTCTTCTTGTACACTTTTCCCACCTCAAAGTCCTAAAACAGACAACTAATTGAAACATGCAAACCTATCAGAAATGTGAAAATTTTAAATAAACTAGAGTTCTCTTTTTTAAATTCTCATGATGCTTCTTTTCAATTGAGGCAGTACCTTAAAGAGGATGACCTCTGGTTTGCTGATGAATGGAGGCCCTTTCAGCTCTTTTCCATTAATAATTTTAGAGTTTGTGTTGAGGTTTCCACCTGCCAACAAAGGGTAATCTTTCTTCTCTTCTTTTCCCACTGGTGCTTTCTCAGTGATCTGCTTCTGTAACCAAAAATGGGCACAACGTTAAAGCACAGGGTTTTAAATGTCATTTCATATCATGCATTGCTGCATATTGTATTTAAATCCACACTGAATCACATTCTGGCACAAAGTTAAATGCACACATTGAGTCATCTATCTCCTGCTCATGAATCAACTCATTAGCTGTGTGGCATCACTGTGCTCATCTACTGTACTTGGCCCGAGCCTCTGATGAGGGCATCAGACCGACCGAATGTAAGGAAGAGCGATCGCTTCAACTCGACTTGTCACTGGCTTGGATGTGTGAGCTGTAACACTCATGCTCATTCTGAAGCCTCAAAGGCACCCACTCTATGAGAAGTGATGTCTGTCGCCCTACATTTCAACTGCGTGGGGCTGTTGCATGAGACAGAGCACCAGCTCACCTCTATGCAAGTAATTTATTGTGGAACCACTTATACCTGTATCTAAGTGTCCTGTACTTATAGATCAGAGAGGAAGTACATAAAAGTCCTCATACAAACTCCCTCATTTTCAAGAACGGGTGTGTATGTGTGTGTCACACTTTTAAATATATCTAATAAACAAGCTACCATATATTTCCAAGGTCTTGTGCTGCCTGATTGTGTCCACAAAGCAGCCCCTCGATAAGAGAGGCTCCAGTGACAGATTAGTTTTTGGTTTTACATATTCATAAATTCAATGAGAATTTTAATTTAAATGGGTTCGACTCTTGGTTACGAGGCTTTATTCATCAGGAACTAGACATCAACACTTGACATGTATCTAGTTTGTTCCCTCAATATGAGAACAAACTTTGTTACTGCCAAGCATTAGAGCTTATAATGTATTCATGTAGTCATGACTACTCAGTGTTCATGGCTGAGATGCTAAAAGGTATCACAGCTGGTGTGATCCCATCACAAGACTGTCTGTAGACAGACTCATGCAACCTTGCTGACACATGGTGTCATTGTCTTTTTCTCACCTGCCAGAAATAAAGCTTCTCTGCAAGCATTGAGAAAGATCATGCTGCCCCCCTTCCTGATCCACCCACCTCATTGCATATGGTCCTACCATGTAACACAAGTCTCTGGTGGAAACCACAGTAAAATGATGTGCCTGCTGAACGTTATGTGATTTATGGGGGTCTAAATTTAGCAGCTTGCATATATACGTCTTTGCTTGAGGTTGGAAATGGCTGTTGTTTCAGTGCACCTTATAGTCTTGGTCCCACAGCCCAGAAAATTCTGGCTCAGCAAGGGTGTCAGCAAGACTCTGGTGGTCCACATCTTCCTGGATGACTTCTTCCAGTTCCTCCAGGTTCTCAGCATCAGAAGAAGCTGATGAAGAGCTGCTGCTGTGGCTGACCTTTCCCAAAAGCTGGTAAAAATACACGGCCATAGATGCACACGCTGGATCGTAACTACACATTTAACAAAGTGTGTATCAGATTTGAGGTAACCTCTCACATGTGTGGCTGCCTCCTCTGCGCCTGAGGGGGGGGTGGGATGCAGATTGAACAGGAGCCTCTCTTTTTCTCTCCTCATAGACAGGAACTTGGGAGTGGTTGAGAGCCTCAAAGGCTGTGGCTGGTCCCTTTTGCTGCTCTTTCTGAGTTTATCCTCCTGAAGAATTTTTGCCACAATCTCCAACCTCTTTGACTTCTGGCTTTCCTCAAATTCCCTGGGAGGTGTAAATCAACAACACTGCATTATACTGAAATGGGGTCATGTATTCCTCAGCACACAGCGAGAGAAAACACCCACACGTTGCTGCATGGAGTGGGAGTCGAGGACATGCGTGTAGGAGAGGAGAGCAGAGGAGAAAGGAGAAGACATACTCTTGTTTTCGTTTAGTCTCTTCTAGTTGTTTCTGCTGGTACATGTGTTTGATACTGTTGATGCCTTGGGCCTGCAGGGATTCTCTAAGTTGTCTTTGCTGCCATTCTTTCCTCTGGGCGTCTGCTTTGGCTCTACTTTGTTGGGCCCGTAAATTCTCCTGAAGAAACAAAGCTAAATTAATGAGGCTATATTTGACCACAAGCAGCTTATGAAATTAAATTGATTCTCCAAGCTGGGAAATGTGAATGTTCAAGCACGTTCTCCAAAATATGAAATGAACTTCCTTAACTGGATGTGAGGAAAAAAACATGTGACGTGTTATGATGAGAATAAGAATAGCTTTATCTAAATAAATGTGGCATCTGCCTGCTCTACACAGAAGAACAGCAAACACAGTTAGTTAATCCAGGTCCGAGGTTTCAATTTTATATGCAACATAAACCAGAATAAATTGTTAGCACATTTCTATTTCGTTTTAGTAATTCTTTTAAAAATCAATAAATAGAATAAATAATCCTGAAATCTTTTTTTTTTAGCTTAATTTGATAAAGCAAGGGTCACAACACCATAGTATTCTCATGGTATGGCTCTCTTGCTTACTTGGTTGGCCTCTATGTTAGATTTGAGTGTTTTCACAGCCTGCATCCTTTTTTCCATTAACTCCCTGTTCTGTCGCTCCTTCTCAGCTGCTTGCTGATGTATTCTGGCAAATAAAGCAAAACAAAGTCAATTTCAGCAGTGAAACTTTTCAGACATGACAGAAAATGAACTCTACAGGCATGGAGTAGAAAATGCAAATCAAATAAATCACGGTCACAAATATTTGGCCTAATTTCTGTTCTGAGTTGTGTCAATCTGTGGAGCTTTTGAATGGTGTAGGTTACTGATATTTAAAAACAGGAGTGAGAAGTGCCTCTTTCAGGCTGACTGTGAAGGTCGAGCTTTTCATTTATCGGCATTGGTGTATGATTGAAAGCGAGTTCAGTTCGAAGGCTGAAAGTCAGCCCTCCACCTAATGGGCTGCCATTGTATTATGAATAAATGATCAATAGGACGGGCCGACTCACCAATGAGCCCTCTGAGTTAATCTATATCGTTGTTCTATTCTGACGCTGTTCTTTGGTTTACCAGGTGATTACCTTTTGATGGTCTGTTTCAAGTACTTGGCAGCTACCCTGCGGGTGGCTTGACTCTCCTCAATCTTCCTCTGACATTCAGGCTCCTCCTTCTGCATGGCTTGCCTGTTTGTTTAAGAGAACACCAGAGACACTGAACACTCACAGAAGGAAATTAATTTTAAAAAAATTCCAAAGGCAACAAAAAGCTGCTTCCCTTACTCCCTGAGATGTCCCATCTTGTGCTGCAGGTTCTGGCTGACTTTCCTTGCCTGCTGCAACCTTGTCGCTGCCTTCTGGGCTTTGAGGACCTGGAAAAGCTGCTCTTCCTCCTTCACCTCCTGTCGGAGCAAGGCGGCCCTGCCAAGCTCCACTTCCATTTCACTCAGCTGGAGTCTGAGGACATGTGGACATAGTCAGAACCAACACCAGGGATGATGACTGATGAATTAAACCCCATCAGGATCCACTAATAGGCCCAATGCCAGTATAAACAGAACCACGATTCTAAGAACATTTTACATTTGCTGAATGATTGTTGAAAAAACCTAGCTAACCAGATATTTGAACAGGTGACCATGTGTTGGTGTTTCAGAACCTTAATGGCAAACCACCTTCTTCTTGGAACTCACTCTTGTTGCCTCAGTTCAGTGCTGATGTGGCCCTCTAGCTCCTCCTCATCGTGCAGGTGTTGACACAGTTGCTTATGTTGGGCTCGCAATCGAAACAATGCCACACTGCCGAATGCAAAAAGCAAAGAGAAGAAAAATAACACCAGAAAATGACACACGCAAATGACAGCTAACATATACATGGAAATACTGTCAACTGCTGTCCTGTCAGTTTGCTGATTTTGTACTTGCCTGTTCTCTGTTGCTTTCTGTTTCTCTATTTCTCTCTCCAACTTCTCCCTTTGCTCCAGCAAATGTTCAACATTCTGACGACAGAGTTTCAACTTTTCTCTGTATGGAAAAAAACACAAACAAGCTGCAGTGTGGACGTATTCCCAGTGGCTGAAATTAGATTATATTCGCTGGTATCAGGCCAAAGGAAGATCATTTTCTTATATATCAATTAAATAAAGATATCTGAATGCTAGAAGTAGACACAGTGATGCCAAACACTCAGGAAAAGAAGATTCTGCACATGGTCACACACAGGCTGCAGCTTGGTTGAAAGCCAGTCTTGCTTTGGTTCCATTAGAATGATGTTTAATCAGAGTGCACTAAAGCTCCACGCTGACCATTACTTCTTTGTTTTGAAGGATGATGACTGGCATTTTGGACGGGCACGGCATCACAGCTCATCAGGTACTTAATGACTCGCATTGCAGAAAAATAAAACGGGGGAAGAAGAAAAGTGGGAAGCGGGGACATTACAGGAAATGTTTTCTCCTCAGCTGAAATGATGTCCTGCAAACAGCTAAATGGATTGGTACAGAAATGATTGGCCCTGTGTGACAAAGGTAAGAGAGGGAAAAGTCGAATAATGGTAGGAGGAAAAAAGAGGAATATCCTTACGTAAACTGGAAATGCTCTACATACAGACAAAGTGCATTAATTTCTATCTGGGTTAAGAAGCCACTTCAGCTTGAGGGGTATGTTGCTGCCAGGCCCAGACCTGGCTTTCAGCACGTCATGCTCCTTCTGTCGGTGAAAGCAGTCCAGCTGGTCCAGGTTTCGTCTCAGCTTGAACATCCGTGCTGTCTCGGCATAACTTCTCTTCTTATCTATGTCGGCCGCAGGCGCAAGGTCACCATCGCCATTATCCTCCCTTTAAGGGCAGATGCAAAACAATGTAAAGGAAAGGACACAGGTAAAACGACAACAAACATTTTAATTGTTGTAAGCATTATAAAAAAGGAATACCCACTCATACAATTCTTCTAACCACTCCAAATCAGGAGGCAGGGCTGGCTCTTCATCTTTAAATGCCTCCTTGCCTGAATCGCCATCTGAAAAGTAGATAGATGGATTGTGGATATCACTTTCTTTTGAAACCAGGCTGAAATAGACATGTACATCAGAAAACATTCAGACTAAAACGAAGCAGCTACCAAATAACTTTAACAATACATAGCTCCTTTTGAAACCATGATATGAAACGACTTTTTAATTGTTTTTTCTTGCAAACTCACCCTCTGTGGCCTCGGCCCTGCTGGGGTGGACACACAGCTGTCTGCAGCTGCCTGACGTTAAATCAGATGGCCCTTCCTCCTCAGCATCCATTTCACCTTATGGAGAAATAAAACACAATTCTAAGCCAAAGCTTTTCAAAGATCCTACCAAAAAGTTTTTTTTCACAAGGGTTTGGTTAATAAACTGCTCCTCCTTCCGGTACGGAGTTGAGTTAGTTGAGTGAAAGACATTCTTAAAATTCACGGGCTAATTATAAATGCTAGAAAGCTCAATGACGAGGTAAATATAATTCTTTGTTGACGTCGTATTACACTGCAGAATAAAAACAGCTACCTGTCTGAGCGACGCTTTTCCTCTCCGCTCAAAGCTTCCGTTTCCTGGAGCCGGTATAACCCTCCGTGTTTGCTAGTGTTTCCAAGGAGACGGCAGCCAACGGCTCATTACAGACAGAAGATCTATCCATTCCTTCCCTGAACCGCTTATTCCCAAACAGGGCCGCGGGGGGGACTGGAGCCTATCCCAGTATTCAATGGGCGAGAGGGGGGGTACACCCTGGACGGTCTGTCCAGATGCAAATGCTAATTATGCTAATTACAGTCACCTGGAAATCCAACTGATACCGTCCAAAAAGTGCTCCCACTGCGCGTGGAGAAAAGGGGAAACATGTATTCATACCATCCATAACATGTCATGTTTAATATGAAGCCAAAAGTAATGAGAGGAACCTGTCCCAGTCTGATTGAAAACGCCCCTTAAAGGCAATTACATATCCAACTTGGATATCCAACTCCGCCCATCCAAGTAGGCCATTTTTATTACGTCACCCCTGGGAAGTGTGGCGCGGTGAAAGTGAAAATATGAAGGGCAAACTTTAGAAAGTTTTAAGAAAGTTTTAAATACAACATAAAAAAACTGCATTCACGTCATTTTCAGTGATAGTAGCCGCTAAAATGATTTCCCAAATATAAAAATGTTGCAATAAACATGCATTATTGTAATTGCTTCATGGCAATATAGACATTAATTTAAAAAGAGTTAAATTAATCTTGCAAACACTGAATTAAACTCTATACATAATATTATGTTAAAATAGTATGTGTTAACCCTCAATTTGACCCATTTCAAGGAGCATGACGTGCTGGTTATCCTTTTTTTATCTTCATGAAATTTGGTGACTTTTCCTCATCTGGGGTCTTGTGTGTAAAATCTGGTCACTTTGAGGTGTAGTGGGGTGTCTGTGCAGAGTTTGTATACAAAGATAATGTTGCGGGTCATTTTGACCCAGACACATTAATGTGGGTAAGTAGCTGTTCAGATCCAAAAAATCCACCTCTGAGACCCAGACCAAGGTGTGTGTGAAGGATCTGGGTCTGAGGGTCTGTGTAAAACACTGTAAATCACCACATCAAAGTCGAGGCATACTGCCATCATCAATATGGCCAGGGGTGGACATGGGGGGTGCCCGTCCTCCGGCTAAGGGTAGGGGTGTTAAACATTGCCGACACAGCTGAACAATTTAGCTGGTTCTCCTGGTGGCACGTCAATACAACCTGACAACATTTAGTCCCTGGTTAAGTTGGATATCTATACCATTACACAGAATTTAAAATGATTTGCTAAAGGCAAGAAATATCTTAATAGAAGAACAATTTACTCCATCAACACTCGCATCAACAGAAACCATATCAACATCTTTGTGTGTGCAGGCATTTGTTTGTTTCCATCTAATGAAGGCAGGATTTATCACTTTAAATATCACTGTTTAATTCCATCCATACCAAGATTTCTTTTTCATTTTCGACTTGATGATTGCAATTCAAAAATACTCTCTAATAACATGTTGCTCTTCAGAAATAGACATGCCTGTAGAACAAAACCACTTATCACACTGCAAATATTTGATCACATGTACAGTGCATGGATTTATGGCGAATGTGTAAGTCTCATGACACATTTCATATGTTTTTTTGACCTACTGGGATCCGCACAGTGTTTCTGTTTTAATCTCCCTGTAGCTGCTTTGTTCATTGAGGCTGTTTTCATTTGTCGTTCATTTCATGACTGAAGCTGGAAATCCCAAGGTGTACAATACACGTGCTCTCCTATTTTTGGTGAGAAGTATTTTTACTTTGCTGATGTTTAATCTTTGCTGATTTCCTCTTGAGAACGCTGCAAATCTTTGATCAGAGTTTTTAATGCTTTCTGAATAATCTACATGCTGCTTTAGAGCAGATTTATGTAATAGTCTGGGGTGGAGGGATGGCTGGGAAAGACAAGGTTGTCATCTCAGATCAAAAAACAAAGGAAAAGTTGGCAGAGTTGGACATCCTGTGAGAATCTGGCCACTATGCCATCACCAGGCTGGGCTCCCTCTTTCGCTTTGTGACAGCCTCTCCTCTGCTGTTTGTACACCAACCCAAAGACCGGAGGTTTGCTTGTGCTCCAATAGGGAGAAATAATCTCCAATTTCATGAAAGCTCTGATGGAGATGATTCCAATGTGTCAAATCTTGTAGTAAGCTTTCATGGAAGTCGTGTGTTTGGGACATGCCCTCTTGCTGCCCTCGGTGGCTAGATTGAATCTAATGTTAAGAGGCCAAGCAAGCAAGGATGGACAGATTAGTGCGTCTCACGCTCCCTCCCTCCCTCCCTCCCTGCCTCCCTCCCTCCCTCTCCGGCTCTTTGCCTCCCTCACTCTCTTTCTTCTCTGTTGCTGTATGACAGGCGACAGCAGCGGGCTCGGATCGGCTGCTTTTGACCGGGAGTTATCCCCCTCCTCTCCCTCTCGGGTGATCCCTGCTCTGGTGCGCTCCTGGAACGCGGAGGTACTGGGGATGGATCTCGTCATGGGGTCAGCATCAGCATCAGCACCAGCTCCAGCGGCGCCAGCAGCGCAGCCACACTTTACTTTGTCCACCACCGCGCTGGATCACGAAGAGAGCGCACTAAAGTAGAAACTCACCAATAAAACAAAAACTGCAGGCTCTCGCGGTCCATTTCCCACGAATCGGGAACTTCCCCCCCACCCCCACCCTTAGAAATACACGCCGTTTATCCGGTTAGGTTGTGGAATGGAGATCCCAACTTTCCTGCTGTCGAGTCTTTTGGTGCTCTTCGTCGGAGGGGGGATTTTCACCAGGTGAGAGCTGCCTTGCTTTTTTTTTTTTAACCTTCTTGCAGGTGTCTTACCCCCGTTTTTTGTCCCCTGCAAAGCAGAGCGACCCAACAGTTCAGGACGTGAAGTTAACTCTGTTTTATTGTGGTCGAGTTGCATTCGGTTCGACTTTTGAAACATGAAAAATGACGTTGTGTCATGGATAAGAATGGCATCTTTCCTCAGTGTCTCCTTGTTGCCCATCGCCACCCACGGCTTATCCTCATTTATGCACTTTACGCTTGAAGCTGGGGAAACTGAAAAGCTGTAACTAGATATTTCTATAGAATATCTCTCCATGACCACGTCCCAAAGTCTGATTTATTTGCTGCTCTCCCTCGAGAGCACAAACCTGATGACACGATTTACATAATGCTTTGGAACCCCCCCCCCCCCCCCCTTAAAAGTTTTTTTTTTTTTTGATGAATAGGAGGTGGCAGGTAATGTCACAGCGTCCATGCCTGTTCTGAAAGGGTCAAATACATCAGATGGTGCAAAAAAGTTTGGATGAGATCTTTACACTGAGCTGCATGTAGACGCTCAAGTTTGAATATTTTAAGAAAGGGAAATAATGTAGATGTGTGTTATTGAGTGGCCAGTGGGATGATGAAAAGTTAAATAACTGTTTGATGTGTGAAAAATTGGAACGTGATATGAGGTCAGGCTGAGATGTTCCAATTCTATTAAACAAAGAAAACCTAACAGCTATCACCAACACTTCTTTTGACAGTTTTTACTGCATCTAAAATCAAACACAAATCTGCCTTTTGTCCACTGTAAATGGCATGTCTGAGTCTCCCATAGGTTTTTGACTTCATGGTCTTGTTTTCATTGTAGGCTTTCTAGGTATTCTTATTTTTATGGTTAAAGTCTCCTCATGATCTTGGCCAGAAGCATCAATTTTTGGGGCCAACTTGTGCTGCTGAGGGTTCCTGCTGAAAAAGGCCAAAGGGGGAAGCCACTTCAGGTTTGGGGGAAATTTGGCCTAAATCACTTCTGTTGTCCCTCCTGGCTGTTCACCAGCAGAGGGAGTAACAACTACTGTAATTGGATTTTCCTGCCTCCAGTCACCACCGTTATTGTTATGTTCCTCTCAGTACAATGCAGTGTTAGCTTTTTTCTTGCGCCTCATTATGTGTCGGCTCTGCTGCTCTCTGTGAAACTCACACAATAATGCACACGCCTGCCACTGTTCTGCCTTTGGTATTTCAACAGAGTTACTCTCACTCTCTTTTTAGCTCCTCGATAATCCATTCGGCAATAAGTTGCTTGGCAAATTTGTTCCTTGCCACCTTTGACACTGTGTGAATTTCGCAGCTGAAGTGTCTCCTATTCTACGGTTTGCTGAGCACCATCTGCACGAAATGAACAGTGTAGTATCTGTGCAAAGGAAAGTAAAGCATCAGTCTTGTAGTCGTTCATTTAAGCTCAGTTAAATGAACATTAGTGTTTACAAATTCCACCAAAAAACACAAGCCAACAATGACAGATCCTAATAATACCCGTGTTATCCAAAAGGATCTTCCTGAATGCTCCATTCTGATGTGGTAAATACTCGATGGAGTACCAAATATGTTTTAATCCATGGATGAAAAGCCTAAAAGTGGGGGCACAATTTACTCATAAATGAGCTAATACTGCAAAAAAAACAACAGAAGTACTTAAACAACAAAGACGTTTATCCATGTAATTTTCTTAAAAATACAACTGTATGTTTTTGTTCTATCTTTAGAAATGTATGTCTTGAAAATTGGGACAGAACACTCACACTCAGGTACTGTCTGATATCACTTCCTCATTCAGGCTAAATACTTAATTATTAACTCCATACATTTTCATTTGGTTTAATCAAATAAACGGAGTTATTGTGTTCCTAAACCAAAATCTTGAAATAAATGTAAACATTTCAGTTTGATTGGATGAAATAAAAGAGGTTATAAAAGAGGTTAAATAGTGGCGCCAGCGAATGAACCAATGCCCGTCCTGAGCCCTGTGTACTGGGACTGTGTTCCACCGCCGAGTCAAGCTGTGACGGAAGCTCGGCTTAACTGTGCACGCAGAAGTACTGACACATGCTGCACAACACCCAACACTAAAAGCTGCAACAGATTTCAGATTATTAGCAGGACGCAGTTGGCCAGCTGTGGATTTCTGAGCTAAATGTTTCTCAAAAGAAGGATGCATAGTCAGTATATGAGAAAGCTACATGATGTAGCGTAAATTTGTCATTTTATTAGTAGTCAATCACACTACAACATGCCATGCTGTGGGTCACCCTTCGTATTTTTTCATTCAAACAAATGGCAAATAAACAAAAGGTCTGTGTTGGACTTTTTGGCTGACCAGATCAGATCTTATTAAATCTTTCTGTTTTCTGTTTCTGTTCTACGTTTAAAGGCCTTTTGTTTGGGCTCTGATGTAAGAAAAAAAAAAAACCTGTTTGGAATGAAATTTCCTCTCCAAACCTCATTGACTACATCCACTTTCACCTATCTCAGCATAACAATAGATTTTCCCCCAGTGGTCTGCCACCAGTGGCAAGCTCTTACTCTGAAGCAGCCGCATGAAGTGTTGAGTCTGCAGTGTTAATATAACTACACTTCACTCAACTCCGATTGCAGCAGATAAGTCAACAACAAGGCTGCTATCTGGTCACACAGACAGGAAGAGGGCGGTAAATCAAAAACTCTAACCAGCACACGCAGCTGTGGCGAGCAGGTGCCGGGAGAGCTGAGGGAATGATGCTTAGAAATCAATGACTTAACTCCATTTGTTTGCATCACTGAGTTATCTTCTTTCTACGCATTGTGATGTAGGTTTGCAGAGAGAGAAGGCCAGGAAGATTAGCCCCTATAGAAAGCTTTATGAGATGATCAGAAGCAGGTGGGAAGTGGAAAAGTCTTTCCGGAGCTCATATATGCATTCAAAACCAAACCTCTCAATGTCCGAAACCTTCAGATCTTAAGTCTTCCAAGGGAGCCAATCAGCCTGTCTATTTCTAATAAAGAACAATGTTTTGATGAATTCGGCATCATGATGTGACGCAAGAGGCTTCAAAGTCAACATCTCATGATATTCACGTTCGTCCTTAAACGTGCACGCAGGTGACCCACCTCTCCTGACTAATCTGAAGGAGAGCTGAGTCAGCGCATAAATCCCTCCTGCCGTCCAGGGAGTGCACTTCCCAATATCACAGCCATTTGATCGCGTTCCTCTGAAGCCCGTCTCCAGGCTGCCTTCAGGGTGAGCTGGTGCAGGCACACTTCAGCGCCTCCGCTAAAAGCCTCCCACTCGGTCAGAGCGGACACATCACACGTGAACTCAAAGTGAGCGTAAACAAATAACTAAGATGGAAGGCTCCAATGATTTATGCATGACTGAATGCGCCCGCAAATGTACTACCTTTATTGATTACATTCTTTTAAATGAATTTTCATGTGACATAATTGCCAAATATTGAAAAAGAATAATGAACATAACACAGTTGAAATTCCATTTTATTGCATGAAGGAAAAATAAAGATGGATGTGACAAAATGAGGCTCATACTTTAGAAACAAACTGTTTACAGAAAAAAGAGGTGGAATCTGTCACTTGCTTGAACAGGAGCCTTTGTAAGCTCTCTGATAAATATCGGTGAGGCACAATGTTCTTCCGTCAACATCACGAGGAGATAAAGGGACGATTGTTTCAACACAACACCAAACCTAAATAAATCAGAGCTCAGACTTCTAAGTAGCTAAAGTGTCCTTCAGGAAGAACCAATCCCAGCTTTTCAGGAGATGACCTTTGACCTCACTGCATTGGGAGACGAACACAGGGAACTTGGAACAGAACTTCATTGACTTGAAATCGTACTTTTTGTTTTTTTTTAGTGGTTGATGAACAAATTCCGTTGCAAAAAAAAATAAGAACGAAAAAATAAATAAATCAAATTCTGGTGCCGTGTCTACTGACGACAAGTCCTGAAAGCCTTTCTCTTTGATTGGCAAACTAACCATAAAAGAGTAGGGCCCGTGATCTCACTGCCATCTCTCCGCTTGGGGTGATGCCTTGCATTGCTTGAGTGAATTCTGATGCCATGGCGTGCACAAATCCTCTGACCGAGGAGGATTCTTACCTCGATGCTCTTAGACGTCGATGCTCTCTATACTTGTAAATGATGCCAAAAATAATTTACAAGAATCCTAAAAATAATAATAACATTGATAATGATGATGTCATAGTGAGGAGTGAGGCCTAGTAATATGTTAGCATTTTTAATTCAATAGGGATTCCAAAAGAGAAAAACATGCATCAAATGTAAAACAGTCGTGACCTGAACCTTTGCCACAGAAGCAGTGTATCAAGCTAATTAAAACCACATTCATTAGTGCCTTCATTTAAAACGTTGCTAAATCAGTTAAGCATAAACAGTCCCATGAGTCTTGTGTGTTTGGGCCGCAAACAGAGCTACTCTGGGTCCTGAGCCAGCCTACACATATGATAACCTCTGCTGGCTTTTTCTGCCCCTGAAAAAGAGGAAAAAAACTTCTACAGCATATTATATCACCTGTAAACTTCCAACAGCAGTTGACGACTGTGTATTAAGATTTTTCAGTGACAAAAAGTGCCTAACAACATTTTAGACTGCTTAAAAAAAGTATTACACTGGGGCCTGGAATCATAGATTAAAGTTTTTTCAACTTAATCAGTATTTTAACATTTACATTTGAAGGCAGTCAAACTGATGCCTCAGAAACGTCCAGATTGGGCTTTTTAGCACTGTTTATGTGAAAAAGTCTCTAAGTCTCTAAGTCTCCACATTTAAATATTTAATGTCTTTAACATTATTAGAGTCTAAATGTCTTTATTTTAAAAAAGTGTCTGAGATCCTCTCTAGCTCCTCTAATTTTGCCAAGGCACACATATAAACGTGAATGTGACGCAGCTGTTTGCTGATATTTAATTTATTTATGTCATTTTCTGATTTATTCAATGGGATTTCTTCTCCATCTTTCACCCGTACCAATAAAAGTAGCAACGAGGATCAGGGGAGTGACGCTCCTATTGTTTTCGGGCTACTTATGGCACTAGTGTACATGAAACTAATAAGGCGATCAATACATGCAGCTCATAAAAAGCTGCCATCAGTCCGACTGAAGCTTCTGCTCTGGTGTCTCCATCTGTTATCCGTTAACTCCCACAGAGACAGAAGATCTAGAGCCCGGGAGGGTGAAACATAGAAAGGAAAAGCAGCATCTGCATCTGTTTATCATGGATGAAGGGGTGAGAAAATATAGAGAAGCAAATGTTTACTGCATCTTCCCAGAAAGCCATCAAATGCTAAAAAAAATAAAAATAAAGCACAGGTTTTTCTGACAGGAAACAGTGAGGTTTCCTTTTGCCCTGACAGCTCGGAGCAGAAATCTCACATTTTCTCAGGGACTGTAAACTGTAAAATTCACAGAAAACCTGTTTGTCCTGATTAGTTCAGACGCACAGTGTGGCAGGATGCTGTGAGACGAACACTAAATTACATTAATTGTGTATTTTGGTCGGATTTGTCTCTCACATACCCCACGCTTCCGCACAGTTTCCTCTCCCTTCCATAAAAGAGGCCTGTTTGACCTTGGCTGCGAATGTCTTGAAGGAAGAGCTTTATATCCAGATTTAGAAACTACCAATTAGTGGAGAAATCCAGGAGTCACAGAATGATTAATTAATTCACCAGTGCTCTAATTTTTTCCCTCTATGTGACAGTTATTGCCAGACTAAAAATACATCTGCCACTACAAAATGGAAGCGCCGTGAAAATGTTGATGACATGGCAGAAACTACCCCCCCCCCTCCTTTAAAAAAAGCTGTTTTGTTCTTGTGATAATCTTTTTCGCCGTGGCTAATTTAATGCTTAGGTTTGACTTTCTTTAAATGTCAGGCTCATTTCAAAGGTCACCAAATGGCTTTCCACTGTTTGTCAGTGAGAACGCACTCGATACACTCTCCTGTGGTCCATCTCCTGATCAATGCCTTTGTGACTCTGAATGTCAGAGAAACCTTTACCTCGATTCACTTTTCTTTTTTTTTTTTGTTGCAAAATTGTCAGATGCTTCAATTCTGGCTGATATTGTATTGAATTGTGCCTGGATTGATTCCTCTCCACAGTGATTATCTGAGCGCTAATTGCTGGGGGAGTTGGGTTGTTTTCAGCCAGAATGTGGGATTTAAAACTCCCCTCTGCTTGTTTTAAAATACAAAACTGCCACCTGGTGGTTTCTGAGCTGTGCTGCTGTAGTGAGATGCAGCACTGGAGATGTGGCTGGTGGCATCGCTCCCTCCCACTTTCTTTAATGGCTCCTTTAAACTTAATCATCTTTTCGAATTCATGTTATTCCCCTCCGGAGACATTTGCATGTGGGGTAGAGTCTGTTGTTCAGCCAGGCTGTGCGGAATCTGAGGCCAGCTGGGCTTTAATCAGAGAGGCTTTTGAATGCTAATACAGCATAGATTTTTCAGCAGATAAAGCTGATGGTTGGAATTTTTGTACAGACATTCAGAATCCCAGAATTTAATCACTTTTGCGCTGAAGCCCTCAAATGACAAGCTGCTTTTCATGATGTAATATGAAAAAGTTGTTATATTCATACATTTGCTCTAACCAGGATACCCCTTGCAGCTCTAAGTTTAAGCACCAGGCATTCAGTTTCCCATATGAGTATTTGGTTTTCATCATTTCTGAGATATCTGTGAAAGAACTTAAATGCTAACAACTTGCTATCTGTCAAAACAAAATGTTTTTCCTGCATCCCGCTGTGTACCAACACAATAGAAGTCAAAACACGTCTTTTCCATAATTTCCAAAAGCACATTAATGTCGACTTAAAATCAAGGAGCTCAGCAAATCATACCAGGATCAAATCTAGCAGCAGTAATGAAAATGTTCCCCGATCAAACCATTGCAGAGAAGTGTCCCCGATAAGGATGAGGGTTTATAAAAAACAGTTAGATTCTGCTACATTTTTCAGCTCTTTCAAAATGGTGGATCTCATTATTTAGCTCTCTAAAATGCTGTTTCATGGGTTTCTTTCGTCTCACTGCACAAAGTCCAATGCAGCAGGAGAAGTTTACGAAAACCAACAATATAACTGATGAAATGCTCAGACCTTTTAAAAAATATGTTTTTTTTCTTCCCACAGAATAAACAAGAGACAATTTTTCTGGAGGGTGAAAAGCTTGAAAAACAATGAAACCTCGCTCCTTGTACCCTCCGTGTGTTGCGAGGTTCGGCAAAATGTGAAAAAGGAGATGAACTCTGCATTAACAGGGATAGCTGAAACTGGGCCATGTTTACCACTGAGTTGCATCACCTCTTTTGAAAACATTTACACCAATTTTTGTAGCCCTTAAAGTCAAATGTTCTCAATTGAAGCGGTATCTTTATCCTATTTATGAATGCTTTTTGTTTGTATTTTAATCTCTGTACTGACAATGGTTTTCAGAAGCACTCCAGAGCCTGTGCTGCGATTTCCAGAACAGAGCCCAATTGGACTTAAAGATGGAGGTTGCTAAGATGAGAGATGAGAAATCCTTCAAATTCTTTCTCATTTTACACTATCCAAAGACTCTTTTATGTGATTGTGTTTGTGTTGTTTAATTTTAATTTGCAACACAAAGAATGAGTAAAGGTTTATTAGCAGTAACTGAAGTGCATGTCGAGCAGCTTTTAGGAAGAATAACCAGCACAGAGCCCACTTTCTTTATTAGTTTGTTTGTTTTCTGTTCACAGGTTACTTCCTTTTAAAAGCTGAAAGTGTGGTCATGGCCTTTTGTTCACCACTTGGGAGTGTTTTAAATGTCTCCTTCACAGACCGCTGGGTTTAAGTTTGATTTGTTCTCATGTATGTTCCTAATGATGTCCTGGACTCTGGCAGGCTTTCCTGTGGACGTGCGGCTTTTTCCGACGACCCCTGAAGGCTGCTGTGTTTGCTGTTTGTCTCCTTTAGGGCCATGCTGAGTGACATTGGGGACTATGTAGGTTCAGACATTCAAATATCCTGGTTACCTAATCTGGATGAATTAATGAAGGGCTATGCCAGAAATTTCCGCCCTGGGATAGGAGGTGAGTATGAGATCTAGAGCTTGTGGTGTTGGGTTGACGTTCACCTCCTCACATTTACAGCCATCCTTAGCATAACACAGTGCTAGTCCCATGCATAGGAATATTGATGTTTGCATTTCATTTTCCCCCACTCCATTATTCTGGTGTCTTTGTCCACGCTCCAATAGAACAAAGCTGTGTTCACATTCGGTAAGTGTCCGATTGGATTCTTCTGAAAGGTGAATCCTGTTCAGATCGCAAAGACGAATTACACAGAGTGGCTTTGCTGAAGGCAATATAGGGGATGATGCTTCTCCAGGACAAGCTGAACAGGAGGGGAAGCACGAGGACTGTGCACCCCTCTGGAAACTTTGCTAAGAATGGCTGCCAAATGTGAAACATCCAACGACCACAGCAATAGATTTCTCAGTCTCACAGCTTAACTCAGCTGGTGAAACCGCGGGCCACCGTGGTGCCGTGACCACACGCGCTGCCCCGTGCACTGCACGTCCGCTCAGACCATCACAACCAAATACCATGCGGTCACCACATTTCTATCGATGTGCCACGCCGAGGGCCTGAAGGGAGGGGCTGTTGTGACTGCTATGGAATCATGTTATCTGTTATTCAGCGTATTTCCCATCATTCAACTCACAACCCATAACTCCTGATGTGTGGTTATATTTGTGTGTCGAAACGCAACAAGAATATGAAACATGTGCCGTGTGTGTGTGTCTGTGTTGAAGTTTTGTTGAATTGAACAATGGTCAAAACTGCATGAGCGCTCCACAAACTTTCTGTTCTATCCAAAATGTTTGTTCAGCAAAAACAACAAAAAATCTTGTGTGTTTTTGTGTCTCATCAGTTGCACATGTGACTGCATGCATTTTTAGTTGTCGTCAAACTGACTTAATTTTCGTGATAAAAGCTTCCCTTGCAATCATCAGCAGTGGGAATGTTTTTATCCAAGCTGTCCAAGAAAAAGAACTGACCTGTGCTAAAACAAAATGACATCTTGGCCACCTTTTGTCACTGACTTTACCCAGTGTGCTGAAATCCCATATGGATGAAAACCCTTCGTGCCACGCATGAGTGTAAATATTTACTTGTAAATGGTACACAGTCTGGAGAATGCCGTGTTAAAAAGGAGACTTTTACGGCATCATAAAAATTCCCTCTGCTTATTTTGCCATACAATAAAAATGCCATTGTGAATCACCTCACACAGTATACCCTGTGCCGGGCCTGCAGGAAATATAACTTGCCGCAAATGGGTTTTGGGAGGTGTTGAATGTTGCGGAATAGCAAAATATGATTCCCTAATGTTCACTGTAAACAGCCTCTCTCGTCTGCATCAGTGAGCTCCCCTGCAGCTTCCTCGCTCCAGCTTCCGATCACTGAGGCACACTCCATGCTAATCATATGGCAAACCGTTGAGTGAAAACACAACGCCATATGTGTATGAGTGTGTGTGGGTCTGTGTGTGTGTGTGTGTGTGTGTGTGTTCTCAGAAGCTCACTCTGTGCAAGTCCGCGAGAGCCTTGTGCTGTTTATGAATGCCCACAGCGTGATGTGCCGCTTAGCATGGTTAAACTGGAAAATGCTTAATCTCTGTGCACTGTAGGAGTGTTTGAGACGTGGGAAGATGGTGGGAGGGAGGGTGACGGGGTGAGGGTGGGAGGGGCGGATGGATTCAGGCTGGGAGGAGAAGGTGTGTGTGTGCGTGCGTGGGTGTGTTTGTGATGGGGAGGTGGCGGGTTTGCCTTGTTTTCTCACTTTTTCCTCTGCAGGTCCACCGGTGAATGTGGCCATGGCTATCGAGGTGGCCAGCATTGACCACATCTCTGAAGCCAACATGGTAAACAAACCCAGTCTTTTTCTCGTTTTTATACAGAGATCTTATTTCACAACTGCTGCAAAGATCAAATGTGTCCCATTTACATAATCCCGATTTAGACTTTGAAAGTGCTCAGTGTGACACATTGGCTAACTTGTCAAATTATTTGATGGTTTCCTGGAATTTGTTCAGCTGAGAACCAGATCTGTTGAGAGGATTCCCCATATTCATCAATAATCAATTTGGTTCTACAGTTAGAGTTTCCAAATTGAAGGACACATGAGCTCAATATGCAGTTGGATTGGAATAAAAAACAAAAGGAGGAAACGAATTAAAACCCACACGAAGCAAGAAAAATCCTTCATCGGCCTTACATAACAAAAGCAAGGAAATTCAGCCTGACATGGAAATAAGCTGCAAAAACAAAACAAACAACAAAGTGCTGCAATTTATCTCATCCATGTGAACCGAAGGTCAAAACAAAACAGGGCTTACATTTTAGCTCATTATTCCTTCATCACAGGTGACAGTTGCCCACAGCAGCTTTGTGAGTCGCCATGGCAACACGGAGCGTGTCCCAGCCACCGTCCTCACTTTTTAATTTCCGCTGGAAACGTTGGGCTTGTGTGTGCTGCTGTTTCACTTTTCTCTTCCCTTTTCTGTACGCAGATCGTTGAAGATTTTCCCTGCTCTGCTGGTGCTCTTTTAATCTTTTCTTGTTACTTTGGAAGAGATGCCGGCTTTCAGCAGACAGGGGATCGATACGTGTCATTCCCATGTAAAATAAAGAATCATAGTGAACAGCATTGCAAAGAGTTCAGCTAAAAAATGTCTCAACATCACTGAAAGAATGATTAAAGCTTTAGTTTCGAATCCTTGTCAAATTTCGGGAACACCAATCCATTGAAGACGTAATAGAATGATAAAAAATGGGATTTAATGAGACGTAATACGCAGAATAATAAAAAATGGGATGAATATGATTTATGCTCACTTCTGAATGTCCCCTTTGTAGTCCATGGACTTGTTAATGGATGATGACAAAGAGAATTGGACAAAGGTGTGGGTCGGATTTTTAACGCCCACATTTGCATACAAAATATTATTTGAGATTCAGTGTCAGAAATGGCATTCCAGTATATGTTAGATATCAGAAATATGATCGGAGGACAGACTTAAAGCATAGGTGGGTTTTTTATTTCTTGTTCTTTATAGTCTGATTTCAAACAGGAGGAGGATTAATTATAGAGAACTAAATTATTTCTGAGAACTAAAAATGAAAGGCATTTTTGTCCATAGCCACAGACATTTTAACATGTCATGGCCAAAAAAAGCAACAACTAAAAAAGTAAAAGTTAGAACACTGTAATGTGATTTTTCACTGCCTAGTGAAGTGTGTGACAAGTACATTTTTAAAAGGACTCCTTTTGTTCTATAGTTGAGCAGACTATCACTCTTTCCAAGATCAACCCATTCAGACTTAAAGCTTTGTTTAAATGAGCCTTTTTATAACCTGAGAGTTTTCCGGAGCACGTAAACAAAGCCACTCTCAAAAAATAAAAGCATGATTGAATGGGTTAAACCTTCAGCATATGCTGTTAAATGCTCAAAATGTTGATCAGTCATGTGCCGGGTTAAAGGATGCACATGTTAAAGGGTCCAGGACATAATTATGTAACAATACTCTGAATTTGCTTAAAGACTTTAAGTAGAGGAAACATTCTCACTTCACGCTCTGCTGTGTGTGGCAGGAATACACCATGACCGTCTTCTTGCGGCAGAGCTGGCACGATGACCGTCTGTCTTACAATCACACCAACAAGACTCTGGGGCTGGATAGCCGGTTTGTGGACAAGCTGTGGCTTCCTGACACCTTCATCGTCAATGCCAAATCTGCTTGGTTTCACGATGTGACTGTGGAGAACAAACTCATCCGCCTGCAGCCTAATGGAGTCATTCTGTACAGCAGCCGGTATAAAAACGCTCATCTTTGTTTTCTCTTTTCGAGTCTCTCAAGTCCCTTTTAGTTTTAAGTATGCCAGTTTATCTGTTTGTGAATTGTGGATCAGAACAGAATGATGACATCCGACAGAGTTTAAATAGTCTCTTTTGATCCCAGAATCACTTCGACGGTGGCGTGTGACATGGACCTGACCAAGTACCCCATGGATGAACAGGAGTGTATGCTGGACCTGGAAAGCTGTAAGTAGTAGTTCATCCATGGCACTCACTGTTCCCTCCCCACAAAATTAAAGAAAAATAGTTTCAGTTAAGTTTCAGCAGGTTGATTAAACCTTACGTCCATTTCAGATGATAATGTCTGGTGTTTGTGGATTTCCTTTTCTCGTTCTAGATGGTTACTCCTCAGAGGACATTGTGTATCACTGGTCGGACAGTCAGAGACACATCCACGGACTTGACAAATTAGAGCTCTCCCAGTTCACGATCACGGACTACCGCTTTGTCACAGAGATGATGAACTTCAAATCAGGTGAGCGGGACGCATGGTTTACTGTCTTTCCTCCCTGGCTGACACGGTCACTTATTACTCTCATGAGTTTTTTGGGACTAGCTTGCCTCTTATATGTGGGAGGCTGAGCTTTAATTTCCTTTTGAAGGTGGGTCCTTTTGAATTCCCAGCACCCCCGTAGTGATATTCTATGCACAGAAGGAAAGGATCAAAACAGAGTTTCTCCTGAACCAGGCATGAGATTGAGGAGATGACAGTCATCACTTTTCAGCCTCCTGTCCTGAAACTTTGCCAACAGGGGCACGTGTGAGCAGACAGAAGCTCCCTTACACCCCTGCTGTCTGTGAAGAACAATATGTTTATGGTGGATAATTAGCTTCGTCAGTTCTGCAATTAAACAGGGTGTCTTGTTTTCCGTTTCCCAGCGGGACGGTTTCCAAGACTCAGTCTTCGCTTCGAGCTGAGACGAAATAGAGGCGTCTACATCATCCAGTCCTACATGCCCTCCATATTACTGGTTGCCATGTCGTGGGTGTCCTTTTGGATCAGCCAATCAGCAGTCCCCGCTCGTGTTACGTTAGGTTGGTAATAATTATGTGATACATTTGACTTTCCCTTTTGTTTAAAAGGCTTAATTCAAATAGAAAGTTTTTACCATTGTGTGTGCTGTCAATGATATTCGCTTTACAGAAGTGTCCTGGTGCAGTGAAACAGTGTAAATCAAAGGTCTTTTACAGTGTTTCTGTTTTTTTCTTAATCACAACCCTCAATGTGTACGTGGATCACCCTGCCCAGGGTTGCCATATCAATTAGGGGAGCATCTGATTCAAATCCAGCGATAATGGGCAGAAAACACACAAAAAAACGTACATACATCGAAAATCTATTTTTACATACTGAGGACCTTTTTTGTCCTTGCAGAGGAGAGAGCACGTTTTCACTAAAGTTACCATCATTAGTAGAAGTTCAGGCTTTACCGTCCTCAGAGAAAAAAAAAAACATCCCGGAGAAAATGTCAGTGCGTCCATCCCTCCAGGTTAATTAGCTGCGAAATTTCCAGAGAATACTGAAATTTCACCCCATTAACAAGAGCGGCATCTTCAGGGGCCAAAGATACACAGTTCTTCTCGCTATAGCACCAGATTGGAGAAACACTGTTCCTGTGGATTGACAGGGACCGTCAGAGGTGCCTGGAGTCTGTCTGCCATTTGGTGTAACAGGGTTTAGCACCTGATATTAATATCTAATGTTATGTGAAACATTCATATTAACATCCTCTGAGGCGCATATGACTACTGTGAAAAGGGATGGGCTGCCTGGAGACACACGTCTAAATGTGGCATTTTGCTGCCACTAGGGGGCACTCCTAGTGATAAATATGTGGGAAAAAAATGAACTTTTAGAACTGCTTAGAGTTATTTTTGTATTTTCTGTTTCTTGGAGATCTCCTTTGTGATTGAGGTAAACTCTGTTAAGAGATTAAGAAACTGATTGTTAATTAAGAAATTAGTTTTCCTCATATGAGGCAGCTACCTGTGCTGGTCCTCTCTCTGTAGATAGATTCTTTTTTGTCCGCCCCTTTCAGAGCCAGGCTGGCTTTACCAAATTTATAGCCTATCAGCAGTCATTCGGCATGCAGCACTATCCCTGGAGCTTAACTGCTTTTCGGGGGCTGCATGTTTGCCAGCGCCTTGAGAAAATAGCAGTTTGTGTGGGCTGAGAGCGAGGCAGACGGACACCTATGTGCAGAAACAAAACAGCTCTTTATGTTAATGTGTCCTGGCCTTCACTGAAGGTCAATTCCTGATATGCAGCGTGCCGGTCTAAAACAAAAAAAGGCATGGGTGTTGCACCTGCACTGATTGTCAGCTCCTCAGGCATAAGGAGGCTGTGTGTCATCTGTGCAAATCAGACTGAATATCTTTGTAGCCTTAGAGTTATTTTTCTTCTTTTTAACCGGTCTGTTTGGATTTAGTTACCCAGGTGATAGTAGAAGCCTTTTTACAACCATGCAGAATGCTTGAAATTTGATTTAAATGTGCTCATTATGTATATAGAGCAAGGGAGTGGGATCTGATCTCAACAGAGCTTTGAACCTTGCTTTTTTCACAGTGCTGCTGCACATCATATATAATGTATATTAAGTACGCCATCTCATTCAAATGTTATTGCATGCCAAGATGTGCTTAGTATCAATAAATGCAGCATAGCTAGATGAGAGTGCCATTAATGTTTGAAAGATTTCTAATATTCCCGGGGTCAACACATATCCATAAGAAGCCATGTTTTTCTTACATGCGCAGCCTCAAATAAACCTAAACTGGGACCACTCATAGATTTGAAATAAGAAATGGCCAAGTTCAGGCTCTGATCTTGTCCCTCACTTTGGGAAATTATTGGATTTTGCTCCCTCTGAAAGAAACATACATGCATACGGGACTGTTTTGGCCATCAGAGAAAAAAACAAGTCACACAAAGAGCTGTGGTCTGATGAGGGCATCACACCACTGCCACATTAAGACTTTAGGTAGTCTCTTTAATAGAACCATGTCAACAAAACAATTTTTTTTATTGTTGCTTTGCTCCTTCTGCAGGGATCACTACTGTTCTCACCATGACCACTCTGATGGTGAGCGCCCGCTCCTCCCTGCCACGGGCGTCGGCCATCAAAGCCCTGGATGTCTACTTCTGGATCTGCTATGTGTTTGTGTTCGCAGCCCTCATCGAGTATGCCTTTGCTCACTACAACGCTGACTACCGACTCAAAGAGAAGGCCAAGGTGAAGGCCAACAAGCTCGGCTCTGAGGTGAGCAAATCATACCTGTCGTGTTTCTTGTCCGAACAAGATAACAGCGTTCTGTTTCGGGGAGGGGGGGGTGAGTGATGAGCATGACTTTTAAACACAAAGCATGAGCATGCATCCCTGTGCAGAAAGATGGGAAAATAATGATTCCCCGCAGCCAGTGAAAGGGATTTTTTATCATTCTGTAAGACTCTTTTGTTGTAAATGCACAAATTGATTGAGAAAAATAAACACATTTGTTTGTGAATTGTATTTGCACACAGATATAAGATTATATTCCAAGGCAGCAATGATGGGGGAATTAATTAAACCTTGTTGGCTTAATTATTATTGTTATTCGTAATTTGCAGAAACACAGTTGAGTCTGAGTGTGTAATACTGAAATGTGACCTCTTGTAAATGCTAAAAAGCCTTTCTCTCTTTTCCCCAACAGTCCATTGTTAAGAACGGCAAACAGGCCATGGTTCTGTTTTCCCTGTCCGTCACCGGCATGAATCAGGGCGTGGTTATTTCTAACCGCCACGGTCGGGCGCAGCACCCCGGCAGCGAGATCCCGGGCGAGGGCGCCTCAGAGGAACCCGAGCCCAGGAGGAGGAGATCCAGGCCGGCCGAGGAGAGCCAGGAGGAGAAGAAGTGCTGTTCCAAGTGCGTCTGCAAGCCCATCGACGCGGACACCATCGACATCTACGCCAGAGCCGTGTTCCCCTTCACCTTCGCCGTGGTGAATGTGATCTACTGGGTGGCCTACACCATGTGAAGAGGAGGCAGAGCCGTACAGAAGACACTGCTGGAGTCGTATCACTTTAACGCTGGCAGACTGACGCAGCCGAGCGATACTGCAGGCTTCAGCAAGAATCCACTTCAGAAAAATGAAGTATATAACAGCCTGTGAATATGGAAATATGGTCATTCATGGAAATAGTGATGAGTTTAACAAGTGTAAAGAGGACTTCAGTATATTTAACAACAGATAGAGCTATATAAAGGCGAAGGACTGTGGTGCCTGCAGAGGTTCACACTGAATACTGTTTAAAAAACACATAATTTTACGCAAAATTCTACTAAATTAAGACAAATAATCATAGTTAGCCAAACTCTCCTCTGTGAGCCGCCCGTCCTCTCAAGAGGCGATTCACCTCCCAGGCAGGACGGCGACAAGATGAGGTGTACCGCTATTCTGCATGGCTGATATCTCATTCACCCTCTACCCCACCACAACTACCCCTTTTTCTTTCTCCTTCGGCCCTTCCCCCATTTTTTCGGTCCGTTTTCACATTTGGGATACCATCTGGAGTGTCTTATCTTCTTTTGCCAGTCCTGCCTGTTTCCTTGTCATTAAAGGACTTCCTTCACTACCTTTGTGTTTTGTGTGTGTTTTTTCTCCTTGATAGAAAAAAAACTTAAATCCAAAGTTAATGGGCGATATAAAGAAAACCAATTATTTGAATGTTTTCTGGCAGATGTAAGGTGCTACGCATGGTTGTTTTGATTAAATCGACTTGTTTGATCTTTTCATAATGTCATGCCAGTTTCTCTTCTTCTGATTTAATAAACTGAACAGATTTTTTTTTTGGACAAAACAACAGAGTAATTTCTTAAAATACATCAAACGATTCAAGGTTTTAGGTTTTAAATAAGCATATACTATTTTGATTGAATCTTCAATAGATTGCTCTGAGAAAGCAACTGTTTTGTTTGATAGAAAAAAGGTGCGGGCTGATTCTGCATGTTTCATGAGAAGTAATGATGGTGTTATTCTGCCGGCTGGCTCCTCTGCCTTTTTCTCCATGACAACGCCATTCTGTAGTCCTTGAATGTAACTGAAGCTTTGTGTGTCTATGTTCAGTGACACAGGAAGTCATCAGAAGAAAGAGTTTAAGTGGGAATACAGAACAGGGTAAAAATGCTTCCGGAAACACAAATCAACCTGTCTTGGAAACACGCTGCACCTTTAAGAAGCATGAAACTTAAAGAAAAAATACATATTTTTTGTTTTCGTTTTGCCTCATTATTTAAAAAATGTTACCAATGGGATAGGCACCAGAATGAAATGATATGAGGTGAGTTGAAACGTTTTCAGTAAATCTTAAATAAGGTTGTAAAATATATTTTTTAATGAAAATAGAGAAAGGAAGAACCTGTTTGCTCCATCAAAGAGTCAAGGAGGACCAGAAGAGGCAACATGTTTGAACTTGGTTTCTAAAACCTCAACCCAACACTCAGCAGTCATTTCCCTCTCAAAGCAGATTAAAAGCAGATTAAAATTCCCCCTTTATGGCGGAAGCACATTGTCAGAAGGAAGCAAATAAGTTTCATTGCACTGTTTACTGAGTTCGTGATCCAATTAAGAAATGGCACATTCACAGGAATGTTACTGGCTAAATGGAAATCCAGCAGACCCAGACGAATTACATCCAAAGCTGCTCGAACTGTTGTTCAAAAGGCAATCTAAACTCCAGTTTGACGGGAAGAGAAAGTGCAGGAGCGTTGCTGCATGTCCTGATGTGTTATGTCTAATGTGATCCCAACAGAAAAATCATCAGCAGAAGCCTTTAGTTCAATCTTGTACCTCCTATTTACGTTTTTTCGCTAGAAATGACAGGCAACATCTTTAATGTCAGTACTGTTACAGGCTGACCCACAAAGTTTCCTCAGTCAGAGGCAACAGCACTGACACAGCCACACACTCTGGTTATCGCTCAGAGGGCCCATTTGCATATCTGCTCCCTCTTGTTGCTCCATGTTTTTGGTGTGCAGGAAGTGAATCTGTTATCGGGGCAGGAGGTGCCGAGGCGCAGCAGACCTGGGTGGGAGCGGGGCCGGGTGCTCCCTGAACCCCACAGCCTGGTCTCTCCCAGTGCAGATAACTTTGTTCTGGGCCAGCGGAGATGACATCATGACGGATAGCAATGAAGACGTGGGCGCAAGGGGGCAGGAAGACTTATCTACACGACGGCACCAGGGGCGACACAGACAGACACTTGTGGGTCACACTAAGGCAAACAGATACTCCACTTCAGTAGATTTGAACGACAGACACTCCCACCTTAACCCAAAACACACACAAGCAGGAGTACACACCTCTGACATGCCAACTCCTCGAGAGGCTCCCAGAGGTGGCAGTCATATAAAGGCTAAAGTGTTCATATAGAGTGGCCGGGTCACTGTGTGTGGATGCACTGGGAGGATATTTGAATATTTGGGTATTACACTGAGGACACGGATCCCTGCCAGGATTCCAGCTTTTATTTTAGGTTTGTACGGAATGCAGCTGTCATACATATTGCATGAATTCTTTTCAAAATCTATCAATATGCACTGGAACAGAGCACACCCTGATGTTGCAGCAGATTACAAAAGCTAGTAGGAAAGCTGAGTTGAATTTGTCTTTTTATTTAGAAAAAATGTGTGTGAGCTAGTAACAATTCTATATGTTTTATAAAGGAGCCAACTACTAAGAGATTTGATAAGGTGAATGGATGTAGTCATTTTTGTGTCAGTTATGTATTTTTAATGATTTCAATCAACATTACATTAATTTGTCTTCCATTTTCTTCTATTCATTAGCATTACCATGACAATTCTCCACATAACTAGTCAGAACTGCATTAAGAACTCTGAAAACTCATGTTTATTGTTAAGCTAAAAATAATTATCAGAACAAAACTGAAGACTTTTCTTATAATAAGTCAACCTTAGGTTTATTGAAACCGTCCAGGTCGTACCCTGCCTCTCGCTCATTGGATGCTGGGATAGGCTTTACTCCCCCCGCGACCCCAATTGGGAATAAGCTGTACAGAAAATGGATGGATGGATGGAGGTTTATTGAATGCTTATATTTTTATTCACCCTTTAGAAAAAGAAAATCATACCAGGACAGATATTTTCATTCATTCATTCAATAGTGATGTGTGGAAAAAAGACATGGTATATACTTAGAACTATGAGATGGCAACACCATCTTCACAAACTTTTGTCTGGAAACCCCCCCCCCAAAAAACAACAACAACAGAGATTTACAATGTAAATGGTTAAAAGAAAGAAATCTTAAATATCTTCATCGGAACTTGCTTCTCAGAAATAATTTCTTTACATGGCATGTCACAACTAAAATGTTCCAGTAAATAAATTATATCAAAACAAGTCATTTTAGGTGTTGACAGTGACAGCATGTGGCAGTAATAACTAAAGTAATAGCAATGTAAAATAATAGTTATTGTTAAAGTAAAGTCAAGTGAATGCCTGCATGTAGAAATTTAAAAAGATTCCATGCCTCCATTAAAACAAATCTATGACTACCCCCCCCACAGACAAATCAATGAGTCAATAAATTGACAGTTAAGGATATAAAGCAGTGACAAAGCACAAATTCCTGATCCCAAGACCCTCATTGAACCGGGTTAAAAGAATCTAAATGGGTTGTCAATCAGACTCCCTCAGTGATCAGGGATCACATTTAAGCAAACCAAAGCAAAGCCTCCTGGAGTCATTTAATATTGATTGCAGATCAGTTTGTTCAAATCTTGACTACTAATCACGTCTTGCTTTGATTTCCCTGGAAGCTCTAAGGATTTCATCCTGCTGACTAATTGACAGCGAGGGCTGCTTGCATGCTGACACATCATTCGCTTCTTACTAATGGTGAAGGCTGAACCTGTTTTTTTTTTAAGAAGCAGATTAATGGGATCGGTTACATTACATTTTTACTCATTTATGACATTTGGGAGCTTTGTAATGGACTGTTGATCTATCTATGGAGGAACCCGCCTCTCTCCAGCCCCCCAGTGAGCCTACTGGGAATAAGCGGGTATAAAAAAATGGACTGATGACTTTTGGAAGAATCTAACGAACTCTTCAGCCAGGGTTTACAACAAATCTCAAATGTATTAAAAACATAAAAAGTATTTCTGTATATAACCTTTTGTTATTGGGTATCTGCTGTGAAAGGAACATGAGGCTTTTGTCATAATAAAATTGACTGTCAGCCTTTTATTGTCCTTTTATTGAATTGAGACCAATGGCTAAGCCACTGAGACAAATGTGATGATGACCAGTTGTGGTAAAAAATCATCAGTAGTTTGAAATGATTTTCCCTGTTTTAAGTTGCAGTGACTCTTACCCCTGCTTAATGCTGCTGTACCCTCTGTGCAGGTTTTTGTGGTGCACGATGTGCCGCCTCCTCAACATCTTGCTGGCACTGCTCAGTCGCTTCCTGTTTGCCGTCCATGGGGTGGTGACGGTGTGGCGGGTGGTGGCGATTAAAGGGGACCCGCTCTACTGGCTGCTGCTGACGGGTGTGGCTCTGCTGGGCGTGGAAATGGCTGTGACCCTGAAATGCACCCGTAATGCCGAATGGAAATGGTACCGCAAAACGAAGCATGATTTCATAGTCTACTTTTCTAATATTTTCTAAAGTTGTACTCATAACTAAAATTTCCAGCAACAGAGGATATAACCAGAAAAAACTTTCAGAATACCTAAAAAAAGGACTCGAAGCACTGAAGAGTGGCAGAAACAACATAATAAGAGGTGTAAGAAGCTAATAACATTTTCCTGATTCATTCAGGTGCTGTTAACCAAAAATGAATTGGGGACACCAGTAATGTTAGCCCTTTTTCATTCAAACAAATGCTCCACCAGAAATGTTAATGAAAAATAACATACATTTTTCTGCGGTCAGTGTAAAAAAAATACAAAACAAATGAAAACAAACTCCTGTGAATGGGTTAACATAAAAGATGGAGCTGTCATTGGCAGTTCTATTTTATATGTGGAGTACTTCACTTCCAAGCTTGTAACTGTGGACTTTTTACAACCCATCTGGCCATGGCCGTGAGCGGTGGCTTGAGAACGGACTGTAAAATTGTCTGCCACTTCCTGAGATGAATTCTCTTATTCTCTTTATATCTCTTTCTTCTCTCTCCTTCACTGGTCATCCAGGAACAGCTCAATCCTTCTGCTGTGCTGTTGTTCTGACTTTCACTGAATTGACACTCTGGTTCTGCTGGCACGTCTCAGTCAGAGTCCCCAGCTTTTCAGCGCACGGTCTCCTGCTGAGCCCTAAATGGCGGGCTTAATTTTCCATAGGAAAAAAAAAAAAAACAGCATGAGTAAACATACGCAGATGTCAACCTTTATCGTCAAAGCCTCAGATGATGTGAGCATTTAGCGTCACACCTCTTTCAGCAGCAAGCCACGTCTCATTCAAACGCTGTAGCTCTCAGGCACACATGGACCGAACAACCCCGGAAACCAGCTTTCTTTAGGCCTCTCTGCTTCTCACTGACTCTAACTTTGAAGTTCTGTCCTCATGGAGGAGGCTTTGCACTGTCAAGTGGGATTTGCATATATGATGAGAATAATTGCCTGTCTGAATTTCAGTAGTACTTTTTGGGGAAAAGGGACTCTTTTCTTCTTTAGCATGTGGCAAAAGATTAGACGGAAAAAAGGGTGTCACTATAAATAACCCACCCCTACCTTTCCACTCCCCTCCCTTCTCGTGTGGTGGTTCTCTTTAAGGTTCTCCCCCATGGTTTTCCTGTACCTCAGTACTGTCATCCCATCCATTTGGTTTCTGGAGCTGAGCCTGTTACAGTCCAAGCTACCCCTCAACAATTCCTCCAGCCACGAGCTCCGTTTGCTGGCCTACATCCCGATCACAGCGGTAAGCGCCACAAAACTGCCCTCCCTGCCTCGTGCCGCGTGCAGTCACATTAAAGGGACACCTGATATCAGATGAGATTTAAATCTGGCGAGGGGGTGGATAAACTATTAGTCGCAGGAAGTGTGTAATAGACACATTGAGATAGGGTCCAGATAGGCTCCTGCTTGGAAAGCTCTCAGATCTCTGCCCTTCTGGGATGGTTTCAGTGCAGTTTCTTTGATGTGGGATTTGGGAGCTCCTTTGCTTCTTGGCAGTTCTTGAGGCAGGGTGGCAAAAAAAATGAAGACATAGTGTTTCAAGAATGTTGTGCAACGTCGAGAGGTTCTTTCACAAAAAAGAAAAAAAATGAAGGAACCCCTAGCGTCAGACGGACTTGACTCTCATAAGATTCTGCTAATAGACAAAACAGAACGGGTACGCCTTGTGGAAAGAGGCCAGCAGCTGTTTTTTTATTGAGTTCCTCTCAATTCTACTTTAAAGCTATATCTCAAATGTGAACGCTAGTGTTGAAAAATAGAAAACAAAAGTAAGGAGAGATTTGGCTTGATTGTGAGCTGTTTCCGTGCATTCAGTGTGATGTTTCCTTCACCGCAGGGCATCACGGATCTGGACCCGGAGAACTGGGTGGCTGGGCTGGAGCAGACGATGCTCATTGCGTTGGTTCTGGGTCGCTGGCTTATGCCCAAAGGCGACATGTCCCGTGATCAGCTATCACAGCTCCTCATGGTCAATGTGGGACTGGGCGCGGACATCCTTGACATTTTTGACACTTTCAAGGAGCCCGAAGTCAAAACCAACCAGGTAGTGGTCATAACTGGGTTAGCCCTCTTCTCGTGGGCTCTTATGCAGTTTCCTCTGGTCCTCACCCAGACTCAGCCCCAGCATCCAGAGCTTCCTAAGAGGAGCGGGGGGGCTCTCTCCTGCTGTCCCAAAGCTCCACCTTCCTTCTCCACCTGCTGCTCAAATGAAGTGTGGAGCTTGTTGCTCACAGTAGGTCTCCAAGACGGGCCGTTCCTGCTGTACCGTCTTTACCTCATGCTCCAAGAGCAAGTGCTGAACCAGCTCATGATTTTCTTCACTTGCAAGAACATCCTCATCGTCCTTTTGGAGCTCTACAGAATCTTCGTGGTGCAATGTGAGCAAAAGGTTCGGGAGTCGGTGTTTGAGAAGTGTGATGCTCTGCTGCCCTACTGCCAAACCCAGGGAGGCAGAAAGGAGAAGGAGGAGGAGGAGGAGAAGGAAGAGGAGGAGGAGGAGGAGGAAGGTGGTAAAGAGGCACAGCAGAGCTGTCATATAGACATGGAGAGGGCAACCTACAGGGAGGAAGATCAGAAACGTGCCCAGGTAAAAAAAAAGATTGCAAATGTCGTGAGGCATGACTGTGGCCCTCGAGGGACGGAATAGTCTTCACAAACCTGGAGAAGTCGAACCCATCTACCATCTGATACATCTCAGCCTCATTCAGAGATGAGCTCTGCTCTCTGGAGGTTTGGTGACCAGAAATAGAGCATAAGAGAAGAGAATGTCCCCATTGAAAAGAGCGTCTCCCTGTGATAGAGCCTTGCATAAACTATTTCATTGAGGTTACAACACAATAAAATAGTGTGCTCAGACTGTTCAAAATGAAGGAATTAACAAGGTGGCAAAAGCCAGTTAAACACAATTGCTCCATGCCGTGATGTTAAACTGATGCGCTTTAACTGGCTAATGTGGCAACAAAGGGAACGGTTTTATTATGCCGCATTAAAGTCTTATAAAATCAGCTTGATGTTGTTACGACTGTCTGTGTAAACGGACCAGGCTCAGCATGACAAATGACCCATTTGATGACATCTTTCTTAGTTGATAAACCTTTCCTAATAAAGCTACTTTGCAGGAAACAAGTACAGAGCTGCTTCTTTTACTTTCGTGGCCATGAGATGGCAGTGTTGCCAAGTCAACCGAGGCACAGCTCACACACACAGCCCTGTCTATCGCGTGAGAAATGGAGAAAAAAGGGTGTTACACTTACCATTTCTTTGAATTTGGCATGAAAATCTTTCCTCTTGGTCTCTCTTTGCGAGACCTAGTGATGAGTTGAGGGGGCAGGAATGCTTGTGATGAGGCAACGTCAAAGATTTAGTCACTTTCAGGCAGTGTCTTTTGAATCAATAATCAGATGCAGTCGATCCAGAGACACCTCATGACAAGTAGGAGGAGAGTGAGGAGGTTGGCTTCACTCTTCAAGGTTCATCTTCCTCTTGAGCACAATCAGTCCATGCAAGCCTGTTTGAGAGCTCAATGCATTGTTATAATGTCGGAAAAAGCACACTCGTGATTATGTGGGAGTGGAAGAAGTTCAGCATGATTTGCTCTCAGTTTCTCTCTTTTGGGAGATGGAAAATGCTTTTAAGAGATTCCTCCATTTCTCCAAAAGAGGCAGACACTATTTAAGACTCTGCAAAGGCTGAGAAATGTTTCAGTTAAGGGCCAGAGCCTGAAGGTCTTTAGCTACTTCACAGTGGAGACAAACAGCCCCCATCCCCTCGATACCGACAATAACTCTCCTGACAAACAAGGCCTGGGACGAGCCGTGCAGCGCTCATGGATGACACTCTCACTCTGGAACTGCGTCGGGCCCGGCTGAGATTGAAGAGCAGCGATGCCTCTGAGTGGCCATTCAATCAAAGGGTTTTCGAGCCGTGCCCTGTGTCTGTGTCCCACAAACTTCTGCAGTTCACCTGGCCTCCAACATAATGATAGGAGACAGGGCTTTGAACGAGCTGGGACGCTTTGTTTCCAAAGAGCTGTTGATGAAAGAAAGACACAGCCGGAGGGTAGAGAACACAGGGCATTTGTGCGTTTCCCCTCTTTTCTTCTCTGTGCTTGCCTGAAAAACAGGCTGAGATTATGTGTGCAAGATTTCCTAAAACAATTACTCTAGGCTACCACTGAAAGATTTGCTGGAGAGCACCGCTGTGTTTCTTTTGCGAAGGCACTTTGGTCTGAATAATTGATGGTGAAGGCAACTTTTAAGGGGAAATTGGGGAAAATAATAACGGGGAGAGGCCCCAAAGTCATGTAAATTCTTCCAGCGACATAATGCCGTCCGTGCACATAGGCTGCTGATCAAGCCCGGATCATAAAGTCACTTCCAGGGATATTACAACACATGGGGCCAATTTGAGGCCAAGGCACATTCTATAAGCACCTGAGTATTGGGAGAATCCGATGTTCATGTGGGCAACACAATAGGATGATGAAAGCACCGCTTTCTTGTGAAGAGAGTCCTTTTCCTCTTCAGATTAACTGCATGCTTTAACAAGATTGTGGGGGTATGTGGGAGGATGGGGATGTCAGCTGATCCATAGGCTGCCCTACATACATAGAAAGGGAGGAAGAAAGCGTGGAAACTCGATGCTAGCAACTCCGTTGAACTTGGATTAAAAAAACCCCATCAACTCTCAAAAGCCCTCAACTGCAAATTACCTGTTCAGTGCATAGACGACTGATGCTGCAGCTCTGTCGGGTCCTCCTAATAACCCCCCACATGTACATCTGTCATTGCATCAGTTCATTAACCCAAATGGAAGGCTTCGTCTTTGCATGTGATATCATTTACCTCTAAATCTTCCCTATATGATCACGTCTCCGAGAACAAAGCGGAGCGCCTGATTACTGACAACATATAATTTTCCTGTGTGATGAGAGTATTAATCACACATAAAGAGCTAAACAAAAAGCTTCATCGCCACTCTTTAAAGCCACGGCATGTGCCACTCAACACCATAAAAGTAGATGAGGAAATCATGAAAGCAACCCACCAATAATTTTTGTTTCTCTGTGAGAGGTACAGGTTTAACCAGTAGGGGGAGCTGACCCTGCCACCATAAAACACCTGTGCAGTCAGCATCATCGATGGGAGGGAAGAGGCAGAATGACTGTGATCTGTGGAATGGAGACAGGAAGAGTCACAGGAAGCAAAACGTTCCGTCTTGTTTGTCTAAATTTGTTGACCATGATATAAAAATTACTAGGTATGTGTAAGTTATAGACGGCAAGAGTTTGATAGATCCAGAGGACTCTCAAGCAATCAACCAATTGATAAAAAATTTTGTGACACAACTATCAAAAGTTGAGGTTTTGAAAAACTTTTTACCCCTCAAAAGCAAGAGAGAACTGCGTTAAACAAAACTAGGTGCCCTCCCTCAACATTGAGAAGTGCTCTTTCCTCATTTGGTGTCAGCTAATCGGAGAGTCCAAACACGCCAAGGTGCTGCTCATCAGCCTCCCTTCCTACAGATAAACCCGTCAAGTTGCCAGTGAAATGCTACAGAAGGAGAAGGAAGAGTGAAAAACAAAAGCAAACTTCAAATGAACCCCAGAACTTTCTGACAGCTGGCTGAGGATCCTTCTCACTCCGCCTCATGTACCTCCATAGAGGGAAACTAATGAGCTTTACTTCACTGCTCGTGGATCAGAGGCAGAACGGTTGGCTTGTTTTCACAGAGAGGATTTTTTTTTCTTTTTCTGGTGGAATTGGTTCCGTGACTGAAAAGAGGTTAGAACCTATACATTTAATTTCTTTGGACATGATGTACACATTTCCTAATAAGCTTCTGTTAATGAATGACTGCTGTCCTCAGGGGGGCATATCTGGTCCCATGTTGCTCTAGATTGTGAAAAGGCTTTGCAGGAGAACTTCTGCAAAGCCTTAACATAGAGCATCCAGTCATCTATTAGGTGACCAACCAAAGTAACTGAAGTGGTCATAAAAGGAATTGTGCAGATCTATGACAGTAATGGCTTTTAACGGTTTTCATCTGTTTGCCACCTGCTTTAGTAGTGTTGGCAGTGATTAACAGTCAATTTTCCCTTAAAACAAAACAACAAAACCAAGCAAGAACCCCCAGGAGACTGAAAATAGTTTCTAAATGTCTTTATATCTTTGATATACGTGCAGCCTTAATTGCACCTGAAACAACTCAATGGAGAAAGAAAGAAAAGTCAGATTTCCTGTACTCATAGCTCTCAATGTTTTTCTCATCAACATCCACACTCCCATGTCTAATAGGCATTATTCATCCATCCATCCATTATCAATACCGCTTATTCCCTGATGGGGTCGCGGGGGGAACTGGAGCCTATCCCAGTGGTCAACAGGCGAGAGGCAGGGTACACCCTGGACAGTCCGCCAGTCCATCGCAGGGCCACATACAAGACATACAAGGACAAACAACCACTCACACTCACATTCACTCCTAAGGGCAATTTTCCACAATCTCCAATCAGCCTAACATGCAGGTTTTTGGACTGTGGGAGGAAGCCGGAGAACCCGGAGAGAACCCACACAGACACAGGGAGAACATGCAAACTCCACCCAGAAAGGTCCTGGTTCCCCCGGGATTCAAACCCAGAACCTTCTTGCTGGGAGGCGACAGTGCTAACCACCACACCACCGTGCCGCCCCAGGCATTATTCATTTCTAATATATATTTCCATTTCCATTTCATATATGAACATTTCTTTATCTCTTTAAACGTTCGAGTAAATGTGTGCATCGCTTGCCACATGAAATTTGCCCATGTGCTAGCCCTGGTTGTCTTGCTTTGGTCAAGAAAATGGGTGCAGTTATAATTTGTTCTTGGATCCTGAAAGGACAGCTCCTGGGCAGTAAGCGGCTCTGAGAAAACAAACCAATGACAAGACTCCAAAGAGCTAGCGTTGCTTTAGGTATATATATTAAAAAAATAGATGGGTGATTGATGCTCATTGTCACTCATGATGGTCCCAACAGGCAATTGTCATCTTGTGTAAGAGTCCTGTGAATTGAATTGAATAAAGAAAAAATTCTTCCCTCAACAACGAAAAGGTGATAGAATGGGAAGTTTAGATCTCCACAGATATATATATAAACAGTCGAACAGTGAAATACCTTCTTTGATCCATTCTGACAGACTATTTCTCATTCAGATTCACATCAAATGGAGCCGTTGACACAAAAGCACAAAGCAGGATTAATAGGAAAGGGCAATATAAGAGCTATATATGCATATAGGAAGAAAAAAAAACGTTTGCATAAAAGATAAATAAGACAAAGATATTGCACTGTCTAGCTGTGATGTAATAATACATGGCAGTATGACACAGAGGTCCTTAGCGGAGCATTCCTTGTAGGTGTGTGTGGGTGAGGAGGAGAGTTTTTCTTAATGTAGGTTTCAGCTATTGTTGAGCCTGGCTGCTCCTTCCAGAGGCTGGCATTGAGAACCGTCAGTGGAGGGAGTGGGAGGGGTCTCTGGTGATGTTCTGAACCCTGGTCAAACAGTGTTTCTTTGTGATGTCCTGCAGGGCTGGAAGTGAAATCCCAATGATTCTCTCTGCCGTCCTCTTCACCCTCTGTGGGGACCTCCAGTCAGAGGCCCTAC